ATATTTTTGTAATGGATGATAGTGGTGATAAAAGCATGACATCAGATAAGTCAGATCATTGTTTGGTGGATGGCAACACAATGATCAACTTGATGCTAGTAATGAGGTCATTAATCCCAATTACTAAAAAGCACCCTAACACACCGCCCTAATCTGCGTATGTGGCTTATAAAGTACCACATGTTATTTGGTTGCATGACCAAATGTCTCTTGTGTTGGATTATTTATATACAGAGTGTTCATACGACCTGCCTGATAGGAAGTAGTCACCGCGAAATATGTTACGAGTACAAACCCCTAAATCCATATAACTATCTACCTGTAGTTACACAACCAGCATGGATACAGCGATTGTTCTTGGAAAGTATGTCCCAATACTTTCCGACAGTTGCTGTCTCAAATGAGCGGCATCCAAGAAGCAGGGGAACAAAGGCAGGCAGGTGGACGGTCACTCTAGTTTTAGTCGCGAACGCCAGTTAATTTTAATATAAGACGAATCAATCGCGATTCCTAAATTGTAAGCTAAAATTAAATTAATTAATTAAATGAACTTTGTTTTAAAAAACCCATCACCGACCGTCAGAACGTAATTAGTATCATAACTTTACTATTGAAGTATTTGTAAATATTGGTACCTTGTTAACTGCACGATATTGCATGTATGTGTCTAAAAACGATGCTATTTTTTTCGATATACAATTTTTATAATATTTATACGTTTTTGTTTCTAAAAATATGTAGGAAATTATACTGATTCCATGTTACATTATAACAATCTCTGAAATAGTTAAAAATAAAACATAAACAGCCCTAAATACGAGTAACTCGCATAGCGCCAACTAATTCCAAACTAGCTGACCTTATATTGTGAGTGCTAGATAACAGTTACACAAACATAAATAAAATATGTATTTTGTAATTGATACATATCTATGTATTATATATATATATAGTATATAACGTAAGTAGTATGACCATATATGTATAAATTTGCATCTAATCAACTTGATCCCGCGACCATCAGAAAGTACGACAGGATATTAAATCGCTAGATCACTCCGGTCTTCCTGTTGTGAATTGTTAGAATACTTTTTTCGCTCTAATTCCAGTTTTAGAGTTTGCGACTTGTTAAAAGTTTTGAAGCAGTCTGTCGTCAGTTTTTAACTTTAAATTATTGCAAAATGTTTTTAATTTATTTTTGCATTAATGGGAAGATGATGGCTGTAATACTGAGTTTATTTATTTGTATATTTCTTACTTATACCTGCTAGCTGTTCCCGCTGTTTCACCCGCATGAAATAGCCTATGTGTTATTCAGATGTATGAGCTGTATGACTGTAAAGTTTCGTCAATTTCCCTTCAGTAATTTTTGTGTGAACTGATAACAAACATTCATCTATCCATCTATTCCTATATACTCACAAACTTTCGCGTTTATAATATTAACTAGCTACTTGTTCCGGCTTCGCACGAGTGTATATGTGTTATATATATGAAACTTCCTCTTAAGTCACTCTAACTATAAAAAAAAATCCGTTGCGTAGTTTTAAAGATTTAAGTATACATAGAGACGGACAGACAGCGACAGCGACTTTGTTTTATACTATGTAATGATAAAATTTATTTGATTTTTTGCCCAGTTTTTTGAAGTCTTATTGCTACAAAACTCATGTTCAACAGAGTACTTATTACTCTGTTGAATGACTTTTTTAGTACTTCATATACAAAAGATCTTATCGCTTGAGCAATCTCTTCCAGTTTAGTCATTTTCTTTTTAGTTTTTTTTTTCGTGTGTTTGCTCTGTATATATATCATAACAGTTTGTATAATATTTATGTTTTAGTGAGAGTGAACACGCACTGCGAATTCTATAGCACGGTTTTTTCCGCACAAGTAAATAAACATCGGCTTGTATTTTTTTGTAACTGAAAAGTCTTTGTAATAGAATATATTTTCATGTCGAATTTTATGAAGATCTGTTTAAATTTTCAGTCATTAATAGGTAACAAACAGACAGACAGATTGCTAGACATATTTTCTCATTAAATATTAACATAAATAACAACCCAGGATAATTTACACAGTGTCATCTAGCCCCATGGTAAGCAGAACTTGTGTTATGGATATTAGATAACTGATATAAATACTTATTTATTTGTAAATTCGCACATAATACATAGTAAAGACCAAGACCGATACAAGCAAGCATATCTGTGAATTCAAATATTTGTACCGCCCGAATTGTAAGACTCAAAACATCTACCGTCGGAAGTAAAGCGGTGTGCTAAAGCGAAATACTACAGAAGCCGATTATTTATTTATTTATTTAACTTCAATGCACACAATATACAAAATATAGTAAAGTACATTTGGCGGACTTAACACCATGCGGCATTTTCTAACAGTCGACCATTGGTGGTGCAGAGAATAATTGTTGGCGGTGCAAATATAATAAATGATAAATAAAATGCAACAAGATATAAACAGAATGATAAATACAATATATATCTAAGGAATACAATCATAAATTACATAAATACATACAAGTATTATATTATACATATATACAAATAAGTATATACACACATATATAAAATAAATATATACTAGATACTCAATAGTCTGACAGTCACAGAACCATAGAGAGTAGAATGGAAAAATAATGAAAGAAAGAGAAATAGAAGAGAGTAGTAAAAAGTTACAAATTGAGATAATGTTCCCGTAGTTTATGTTTAAAAGAAATTTTATTCGTAGCGGTTTTGATATCAAGAGGTAAGTCATTCCAAAGTTTGATAGCCTGAATGGCGAAAGAATAGTGGACGAAACCGGATAAATGGGCCGGGATATGAAGTAAAAATTTTCTAGTTGAGCGAATACCGTGATTATAATATTAGTATGCATAAAATAGAGTAGTCTTCATCAAATCTTAACAATAAAGACAGCTAACAAATATTGGTAACAGCCCAGTAATAAAAAATGTATATATGAAGCCTAGATATAATTCAAGTGGCTCCCCCGTTATACAATTAGCCCCAGGGTGGCGCCGCGACGCCGCCGGACGCGGTAAATTGCTGACGCCGCACCGTCACCTTGCGACTTATTTATGCAACTCTGAAATTTAATATTGCACCAACCCACGTTAATCTACTGAACTTAATCTTAACCTGTAAAGGTCGGGTTTATAATTATAGCGAATATTTTTTTAAAGTGAAACTTCTAGAAGGTTTCCGAAAAACGTTACCGTCGCGTGGAGGGGATAGACGAGATTCGCGTGAGAGAAAGAGAAAGGCGAGTGGTAGCTGAAAGGACAACGGCAGTCCGTTGAAGATTTTTTACTTATTTTTCGTTGCATTGGCGTCATTGACCACCGTAAAATAATGACAAGCTTGGAGTATATTTCGCAAAAAAAAGGCATTGCCTAACTTGGCCTATGTTTCGCAAAAAAAAGACGATAAAAATTTGGCGTATATTTTGCATAAAATAATACTAAACTATAACTTGGCGTATAATTACCAAATAAAAAAAAATCTTGGCAAAAAAGGATGACAAACTTGGCATACATCTCAGAGTTTTCACCTTAATGTGTTACTTACATTCTCTTTAAAATTATCTCCTATATTGACTCAACATCTTTATTTGGCTCATTTTTACTAAGACTACAGTTATCTCATTCAAAGATTAGATAGAAACGAAATTTGTTACGCGATAACAAAATGTTGTGTAGATAAATAAGGTTTATGTAATAGTCCGCTACAATATTGTGTTATTACATAGTTCGTATTAATTTTATAATACCAGATCGCATTCATTCATGGAGATTGTAATGCATACGTAAAGAGGCGTGGAAATGTATATTAAACATCGTACTTACAGATATATTAGTAATTACAGTTACTGCATGCCTGCTATTTATACTATATATAAACAAAAATATTGGTCAAAAATAAATAGGCATATGCAATATTCATCACATAAACATTTCATTTTTATTTAAGTTATTCAGTAAATAAATACAACCAAAATATAAGAATTACTCCTTGCAGTCAGTAAAACAATATAACTGTCAGAACGCACAGTAAATAATGGTCCAAGTTGTAAAGACAAATGAACTGTTTTTTACAAGTTTGTAGTTCGTAGAAACCGGTGTATTCACTAAACGCCTTTTGTAAAACTAACATCCTTTCAAACATTTATTTATATCTCATTTAATGACAATTAATTAAAAAATGCCTATGTGTCTTTCCCCCTCTGAACGAGCCAATTGAAACGGGGATTGAAATTACGACGTTCTGAGCCGAAGTTGAACCCCTAGTTGTGCGCTCAGATTAAGTCGGATACGTCAGGCGAGAGTTAGCGTTCAGCCGCTCTACTTCCGCGGGTTTGGACTGTGATCTCCACTCGCCCCCTACCGTTCGATGAATAAAGATCCAGTAAAGGCTAGCGGTGGCCAACACCATTAAAGTAGTCCGAAAAAAATGAGTCTTTAATGCTGAATTAAAATAATTATATATTTATTTAAGCCTCTTTGTAATTTCACTGCCATATCTCACTTTTTAATCTGGAACACAGCTTGCAAAACTTGCTGCTGATCCCACAATTGGATGATGCCAGGTGAGATGCCATGTATACAATAGTGTACAAATAGTACGTATATTTAGTATATATAAATGAGATAAAGATCGGCACCACGCTGGCAATATTATACTGTACTCTCTGTACAAATTGGATTTCATTTGAAAATATACTAGAGGGACACTTAGTATATTTTCAAATCCAGTCAAAAATCATTTATTCAAATAGGGCGCTTATAAACGTCAAGTTTTTAAGTATATTTTTTTCCCTACCGTCCAATTCCGTATACAGAAATAAGAGTAAGATACTTAATTTTTTTTTTATTACAAATCATCGCTCAGCTTAATTTTGCTTGATGTACTTTTTAGCTACTTAAATTAACTGTATACAGAGACAGTTAGTTTTAAATAAGATATTTCAATTGACAGATGAAGAAAATGGGCGAGCGAGTGGTCAGGTGCCGCGAGGAGGTGTCGAAGAATAGAGAAAAGTACCAAGCAGCCCTGGCTGAGATCACGGCGTACAACCCTCGCTATATCGAGGACATGAGCGGTGTCTTCGAACGCTGCCAACAGATGGAGGCGCTGAGGCTGACGTTCTTCAAAGACGTGCTCTTCAGCTTCCATAAGTCTCTGAATATTAGCCAGGAACCATCGTAAGTGTTATTTAACTCAAGTAGCTGTCATATTTATTTATTCTTGCTGGTATTGTCAAAGTTTGTAGTTTGTATTCGTATTCACACAAAATCCTAAATATGAGCATTGTGCGAGGAATCGAACCCGTGCCATTGAAAGTAAATCGGTGTGCTAAACCACACGAACCAAGTAGAAAATTAAAAATATTTTTTTAGAACCTTCATACAATCTGCCCTGTTACGTGATCAATTTAATGTGATATGATCAAAATATATTTTTAAATTTCATCTATGCTATTGCCTTTAAAAGGTTTCAAAATTATGGATATTTGAATTGTAGCTGGATATATATAAACCTTTTTTATTTTATTTGTTAATATGACTAATACTCTTCGACGGGAATTTAATGAAGTTAGACATAGTCTATATCTTTAGCGATAATTGTTTCAACTTCATCAAGGTTTGTAAAAAAAATAAGATTTAAATTCCGAATATTACAGGTTACCACAAATATACGAAGAGTTCCATCACACGATAAACAATGCGGACCATCAGAAGGACTTGAAATGGTGGGCGAACAACCACGGCATCAATATGGTGATGGCGTGGCCCCAGTTCGAGGTGAGGTGACCACACAGTATCTAACCACACCATACCACGTCGTCCGAACTACGCAATGCATTCCGTACAGCAGTTATATACCGTTATCTATGCATCATAACTCTTGCTTAATAAATCAACCCGGTAATCAATTATGTAGGAGTGTAATGAGATGGAGCATGTCTATCTATCCTTTTCTTTTATTAAAACCTTTCAGTTCGGTACTGTAGAACGTAGACGCTTTGTAGAACTCGTATGTAATTTAGGAACTAATGTTTGCAGAGCGGTATTTGAGGTTATATAACGATAATTCACGGATACATAAACTATATAGACTCGGCACATCGAATTACATATGTTACTGGTGGTACATTATTTTTGTAATATGCTTAAAGGTCATGTACATTTCAGATCAAACGTTTGTGTTGTGTTTTGTTTTGTGTAAAATGGCTCCATATAATAATCATGGATATTATTGTATTGTAATCAATGTACCATATGTGAGTGTGAGTTACTATATCAGATTTGGTAAAATCATTTATTTGTAATATCAAAATGTAATAAAGCGCAGTAATTAGACACAAATAAACAAGATTGGATGTTACAATATAAAAGTTCTATGAAAAATACTGTAACAAATCGAGAATATTGAGATGCGACATGTACATGACGACCTCACACAACGTGGTAACAGCCAAAATTATTTTGTCAAATATAAGCTCAAATTTAAAGGACGAACCGGCGGCTACACCCGACCCGGTCCGATTCAAATATCTGCCAACGGTTGCGTCCGCTTTCCTCGCTCGTTTGACGGGATCGCAGTCCGACCGGCTACCAGAACCGTGGTCGCCGGATCCGGCGTCTAGGTCACCCAGACCGCTGTGGTCTCGTGTCACCAGCCGCCTCAGGCTCTCTCTACCGGCCTTCTGCTTCGGGGATGAGAGGAGTTCGAGAGTGGCGCCCTCCAGTAGTCAATACGGAAGTAGCAGATTCTATAGCAACCCGTTAATGGTACGCTATCACGGTGTAGGGTTTGGGATCACGTTTTTTTGCCACAAAGCCAAATCGTTTAGCGATGGTCACCTACGTTAAGTTAGTTAAAGGTCTTGTACTCGGATTCAAGTATAAGTTTTTAAAATAACGAATAAAAAGGAAAAAATAATATCTACTCCTACAGTGTCAGGGAGAAATATATTTCTCCCTGACAATGACAGTAGACATAATTTCTTAAATTATCTCTAAATCCAATTATTATTCCGCAAAACAAATTATCGACTCAATCTTATCAAGAAAAATGCACCTGAAGTGAAAATTCACGTGAAACGATTGCAATGCACAAAGGTTTTGGTGACACTCAAAACCACACCGTGATGGTTTGTAATAGAGTGTATTTTCACGATATGCAACAACACAAAAAGCGAGCACCTCATGTATGGTGCACCTCACGATCACTCTCATCCTCACTATAGCATACGATAGAGGCTTTGAAAACATAATTGAAGCGCTAATAATAGACTAAAATAACTTTGAAATTATTAACTCATATTTTATCATCACGCGAAGATTTTTTTTTACTTAGAAAGAATAAATTATCTTATATATTTATTAAAGAGATTTATAATTGTTAGAAAGATAAAATAATATTGGCAGATACGCGATTTTTCCTTTAAAGTATAGAATATATGAGTTATATTCAATGCACGTGAGTTGACATGAGGATATAAAAAAATTGATTAGGATCCAGAATGCGCGCGTGATACTCCTAGTCTAGCAGACATTTATAGGCACTCGTTATTATAGCTTATGGTTAGTTTGCCAGCACACGAGTCTCGTGGTTTAAAAAAATATCTTAAATCCTAAGAGAATTGGTCAGTTACCTTGTTGTTCTTTTCAAGTGTCTAATCGCATGGTTTTCGATGTACCTCTAGTTTCCTGCATAGAGCCAATGCGCTTCACTAATGTCCACCAGCTTTGAATGGACGTGATACAATGTTTATTTTTATTTTTTAATTTTGTCTAATTTGTTTTCTTTCATTTTGAGTTCGCATACGTGGCGTGCACTGAGACGTTGGGACGTTATGTATTTATCGTTTTATAAAATGAATTATTAGAATTAATACTTATTTTTTGTTGCATAAAGAAAAAAAAATCGTGCATTATTTTCTTGAGCGTATTTACCCTGTCCTATACTCATTATAAGGACAAAACAATACGTTTTATCTAATAAAAAAATGAAAATGAATCATTCAAAGACAATACATTTTTATTATTTTATAAGAGAAAATCATTATTGAAATTTTAAGAACATTTGTAATTAAGAAAAAATAAATTCAATCAAAACTTTTTAAATTAATTGAATAGTTTTAATTGCTGTTGTCCGCAATTAATTGTACTCTTTACTGAAAATGAGAAATACTAAATTAAAGTTAATTATTCGATATTGAACCTTAATGTGTACAAATAAGAACTAGTCCCAACGTGTCGTGTAAACACGAGCGCTTTACCGCGTGTGTCGGTTCAGGAGTACACGGAGGAGTTCCGGGACATCGCGAAGGGGAAGTCGAAGGAGAGCCTCCCCACGGGGCCCATCACGCTCCTCAACCAGCGCCCAGTCAGCGAGGACGTACGTTCACAACACACATATTAACAATGGACGCCGGGTATCATTTTACTAATGCGTACAACAAAAACTTTGTACATATTTTTATATGAAAGTTACGCTGAGGGAGGAGGTATTTTGGTACAGTTAAAGTGTGTTGGGAGAATTTTTTGATATTTTTTTTATAAAAAAAATAATAATGATAATTGTGCACCAAGTAGGTTTTTATTATTGATATATTTAAATCATTTCTGTGCGTAAGATTAAATAATTGTTCTTGTGAATTAAAAAAAAAAGCATAATATAAATTGTTTACTTATTAATGAAAACAAATAGGTTTTCTAAATGTAATTTTTTTTTTAATTAAATATTAGTTTGCAAAATAAACGTTATGTTATTTTCTTTAATATTATCTCGTATTTAGTAGACAGTCCGTTAATAAATCTAAAAATTGAGTATCTAAATCAGCTGATACGTTTGCTGTTATTTACTCGAGATACTAGTTTGAATATATTTCTAACTACCTGTTACCGCGCCTTCGTCCGCGTAGAATTTAACTTTATTTTCTAAAATAAAAGTAGCCTAAGTTACTCCTTGTTACATCAGCTACCTGCCAAAAAAAGTCCCGTCACAATAGGTCCAGCCGTTTCAGAGATTAGCCGGAACAAACAAACAGACAGACAGACAAAAAATGTAAAAAAATGTTATTTTGGGGTATGTTACCATATTTATATTCATATGCATGTAGTAAACATCGGTTATTTCAATATTACAAACAGACACTCCATTTTTATTTTTTATGTATAGATTTGTAGTTAAAGAAATTTCCTTTAAGCTACGTATATTATAATTTAATATTTTGTTTTATTCAGCACTATTGTGCTGAATAAAACATTAAATTAATAACCATTCAAACTTAAAATTTTAATTAATTATAGTCTAAATTAGAACACTGGGCTCCCACCAGTGTTACGAAATTAACGAAAAAAGTGTAGTGAGTAACGCCCAGTGTTGAATTTGTAAAAGAAATAACTAGTGGGGTTTCGGTCATTCGAAGGAAGGACTAGTGCGAAGATGTGGATGAAGATGGATTTATTTAATTTAATTATTTATTAATTTATTTTTTTTTTGTAATATGTATGAATTTTTTTTTTTTTGTAATATATTGAAATTTGGAACGTCATCATTTTAGTGTTGAACTCGTGTCCATTGGTAATATGTAGATGGTTCACTTTAAAAACTGTGCGTTCTTATAACTGCTTTGACATTTTCGGTGATAATTTAATGACAAATATCCAAAATTTAATCAAATTTATGAAGTCGGCAAGTTGTTTTGTTGTTATTATTACAGACAGATATTAATCTTAATAAATATTATATTAAGATGACATTGGGAACAATACAGATACTGTTTTAATTAGTATGACATTTAGTATCGTTCGTCTTTTTTTTTTATTAATATGTTTTACGGCTCTGGATACAAGTCCTTTTTAGTCCAACTTAACAAATATACACATAATAAATTTGTAACTCGAAGTTTTACAATTCAACATTGCTTTAACTCTAATCGGGAGAGGCAAACGAGCAAACATATATATTATCCTTACAACTAGAAATAAATAATAAATAAGGCAAAATTTATTTACATAACATTTGTGATTACGTTAAAATCTATATTTGGTTTCAATATACTTAGAACCTAAAATAACTTCTAGTAATGTTTTAAGGACATATTGGAAAATGTATAATGGAATATAAATTATAGATTAATTATGTAATACACCATAAATTGCTAACTTAAATCATAAATGAGAAGACAATTATCAACTAAAATAGTCCACTCTCATAGCCAAAGGTTCATAACGCATCCAGCGTTTAAGTTTAAATTATAAACATTTTTCCGTATTTTTAGGTACAAGTTATGTATTTTTTATAAGTATGGTTTTTTGTTCCATGTTCTTTTTATTAATTTAATTTTTAAATTAATTTCGAAAATGACACGGCGATCATAATAGCATGCACGTATAAAAAATTAAAGTTTTTCGGCGTGCAATACCGTGGATTTTCGAAAATTCGAGAAATTAAATAAACGATTTAGTGAAAATATAACAATTGTCATTTGTATTTTTTATGTTCTGTTTTTAATGTTTTATCTATCTATGTAATGTGTTATTTGTGAAACAAACAACATTTTTCATTAATTCGTATATCAAAATTCATATTGGAATTTTAATCGAGATTCACTCAGTGAAGTCTTCATATGAAATCATTTTATATTGTTTATTTGTATATTGAATGTGCAAATTCGCAGTATTACATGCCGATAACTTATAGACGTCAAAAAACCTCAGGATTTGTAGCGAATTATAAAAATAATAATCATATTCATAATATGAATTAGGAATATCATTATTTGATTTATATGTGACGATATGAGATAAGACAATTTTAAATATTGATTTTTAAAATAATTTTGTATTTTATTAGTAAAAATATCAAATAGAATATACCAAGCTAAAAGGCAGGACACATGAAATTGATTTTCAGGAAGAAATAAAGTGGAAATTTGAAAATAGATGAATAATAATAACTAAACCAGTACATTGAAAAGTAAAAAGGCGATCTTGTCGCTCAAAAGCAACCTATTACAGAACAAAAATATATCTTTCTTACTAAATTTATCAAAACTTCTTACTATGACGTATAATAGTACAATTTTCTATAAGGTTTTGCTTTGGGAACTTAATTTGTAAAAGGGTTTTCTTTAGGAAATTTACTATTTTATATATATCAGCACTGGATTTTGGCTTGGTATAACCGTTACAACTCTGTATGTTAATGAATATGAACAATTTCGTCACTTTAAAATTGTCTTGGACGTCTTTATAATCGTTTCTCCACGGACGAATATCAAATGACTGGAGGGGTCTAAACACATCGCAAATTCACTCGAAATTACACGCTCGTCCAGTGTAACGTGACTCGATATGATTCGGCCATCGGTATGTATTGTGCTCAGACCCATCTCGGATTTAAATGAGAATGCGCTAATTTAGCTCTCTTCAATACAAGCATGAAGTAATCCAGGTGAACAGTAGACGTATGGGGCACAGGACATTCTCATTTCGATCCAAAATTAGCTATAAGTGTGCTTTATTTATTTATTTTTTTTATTATATCTCGACGTTGCATGATGGATGTCGCTTATTATTGAATGCATATTCGCATGCTCATTAATATATATAACATTATATTTTAGATGATTATATACGTAATATTTTAATAGGATTATGAATATTTATATAAATATTTATTTTAAATAAATAATCCCGAATAATAAATATAAATAAGAATTTATGATATGTAATACCTTTGCTCTGATGGATTTAAAAAATAATTGTGTTATTATCTGTGGTTTAGGAGTTGCCACCTATCAACGCGAATAATAAGTCAAGCGGTAAAGCTCCCAATCATACGGAGCCGCCTGTCACCAACAACACAGTGGTCAACAATACGAACAGTACGACTGCTAACAATACCATAGACAAGAAAAACATCAGCGCGCCAATTGCCGTCACGTAAGTTTTTTTTTTAATGTCAAATTACCTAATGTTGTTTCCTTTTTTTCTATAGTGCCACCATATTTTTTACAGGTGATTATTGAAATTTGGAACTCGTTTCTAACACTTATAGAATGAAATTATAATCATGGGAAGTGGGTACTGGTAATGATAGATATTTATATTTGGAACTTTTGGTGGTACTTTTTTAAATTGCCATATTGTAACGAATGTTCTAGAAAAATATTCCATTTCATAAAACATATTTTTGAGGTTATATCAACCACTTCAATCATTCAATGACCATGTACTACGCACACAAAATATACCTTCTCTTTCTCCGTCCCTTTTCATAACTCGTCTAATCCTGAACTCGACACCATTATTCTTATCCTAATTTAACTCTAATCCTGTCGTAATCCATCTCTAACCATAGCATAGAACGCCTGGAGATATTCACGTGTGCACCACGCGGTACAGTCGACCGCGACACTCGCTCGCTGCGGCTAGCGTTGCGACCGCGCGTCGACTGTACGCGATACCACATAGCTGATGTGACGGAAGTGGAGTTAGTGAATAATATGACATCATGTATAATAGTTTTTTGTATATAGAAATTAATAAGCTAGTTTGTACACGCGACTTCGGCCGGTGACTGGACTAGACAATAGCTTTACTTTCTCTATGGCAAGGGTTATTGTTATACCACAGTATCATGACGATTGGTTCAGCCGTTAAGACAACAAGAAGTGACAAATAAACTCACTTTCCAATTCATATTAATACAATATACATGAAAATAATATAATAAGCCGTATTGTACGAAGATGGAACCCACGACCATTTTTTTATGTTACTGAAAGGACAAGCAATCTGCCGCCACATCTGGTTGACCAACGATATATGAACAGGGGCGTCACAGGACATCACGTCATTATGTGACGCCACTGTTAATCTACATGCATTTTTCTATATATATCCATATATTCAAAAGAAGGTATAAATAATTTTTATTATTATATTATGATGTATGACATTATGTTTCCAGGAACGGCACTGCGTCGGCGCCTAAATCGAATAAGACCTCACCGGCCAAGGAGTCGGCCAAAGGCGGGGAGAACCCGTTCGAGGAGGATGAGTGGGATGAGGAGTCGGGCGGAGCGCTGACGGACACCGGCGAGCCCGGCGTGCCCGTGCGCGCGCTCTACGACTATACCGGCGCGGAGAGCGACGAACTCAGCTTCCGGCAAGGTACGATCTGAACCAACAATGAGTAGATACCCACCCCTGTCCAATTCTTACAGATCGAATCCGAAACCTCAGGCAAGATACGACGTGGGTCAACAATGGTTAAAAACCCATCCCCTGTCCCATTCTAACAGATAGAATCCGAAACCTCAGTCAACATGCGACCTGGGTTAAGAATGGGGAGATACCCATCCCTTGTCCCATTCTCAGATCGAATCTAAAACCTGAGGCAAGATACGACCTGGGCCAACAATGGGTAGAAAGCCATCCACTGTCCCATTCTAATAGATAGAATCCGAAACCTCAGGCAAGGTGCGACCTGGGTTGAGAATGGGGAGATACCCATCCCTTGTCCCATTCTCAGATCGAATCTAAAACCTGAGGCAAAATACGACCTGGGCCAACAATGGGTAGAAAGCCATCCACTATCCCATTCTAATAGATCGAATCCGTAACCTTAGGCAAAGTTCGACCTGGTCCATTCCAACCATTTTCTGTCCCATTCTAACGGAGATCGAAACGAAGACGGCCTGAGTACTGATTTTATAATTATGTGACTGTAATGGCAAACACGGTGGCGACCGACTTGATGGTAACCTTCATCTTTATATATCAACAACGGACATTATATGCTGTTTCACTTTCATACCTCTAATTTTACAGCAATATCACGTCCTTCATGTCTTAAAATGAGAAAATCCCAGTAGTGATATAACACAAAAGTAAGAAAGTAAGAAAAATAAGAATGTATAATTAGATTTTGGCCAAATTCTGCTACAGTAAAATATATATAAAACATTACCTTCCCCAGGAGACCTATTCGAGAAATTAGAAGACGAAGACGAACAGGGCTGGTGCAAGGGACGGAAGGACGGACGCGTCGGACTCTACCCCGCAAACTACGTAGAGCCGGTCGGGCATTAGCGTGCCCGCAGTCACGTGTCCGTGTCGCCACGACGTCGCCAATGTTTACCTAACATTTTACTCTTATATACACACTTATATACTGTACAGGATTGGTTGCAAAGGGTATACTCATAAGTATGGATGTAAATAGTGGTTACAAAGGTTTATAGAAACCCTAATATATAAATAGAAAAGATATGGATGTAATTTAATTAAATCAGATATCACAACTTTAACGTGAAATAACTAGTTGATTATCTTCCTTCCTTTATACCATTTGTTTTAAAGTCAGAGTAATATTGATTTTTATGCGTAAAATTAGGAATAATTACGGGATCTTTAAACGTTTAATTTATTCTCATTGAGTTGCCACTATTTCGGCAGTGTTACAAGCGGCCATGATCACGTAATGTCGGGAACTCAAAAAAAATAAATAAAATGTAAGATCCCGTGATTTTTTCTAGTTTTACGTATATATAATGTTTTATTTTCTATTACCAGGACCATACTATTTTACGATCAGACGCTCGCTTGTCAACTCTCTTTGAGGCTTTATGGATTTAGAAACCAAAAACAGCATCACTGATGATACCTGAGTAAAAGAGAGAATAAGCAATAATTTTTCTAGTGACAAATAATTTCCATATAAATTGAGGCAACTAAATCTTCTATCACTGTCATCATGTTCATCTGTCTATGAGTATACCACACTAAAACTGAGTATTAATCTTTTTTTTTTAATTCACAGTCTGTTTGAATCGATTTTCTAATTTGTAAAGTTACCACACAATTTAATTGTGGTAATTCCGAAATATTTGACTATTTATAGAATTAACTGTACACTGATTTAAATTACAACATTTTGAATCTACAAATGTGTAAGTCAAAATAACTCAGTACTATCCCCCTTATTAAAAGAAATGTCAAATGTCTACTAAAACTATTTTAGCTATTGGGCTGTTTTGTCCTGTTACATCAAATATGGTTTTCATTTGAAAGAATGTGACAGAACACAATTGTTGTATGCAATATTATTTTTTATTTATACAGAACTTTAGTTTTAAATATACCGAAATGGCGCGTCGTGGCGTTATAAAGTACTGCGTATGGCTGGATTCCCTGTAAAATTAGTTATGTTTTATAAGCGCGAGTCACGCTGTAGTCATTGTATTATAAATCTTACGGAGGATGTTATTAAGTACATAATAAATTGCTTAGTTAATCTGAACACTAAGACGAAACATTACTCGATATAACCTCAAATCGATTGTGTAAATCGGTCGCGTGTCAACATTCTTATGAAGTTATGATATTGGATGCGAACCGGAACTTATATCAATAATTACCGGAACTAAATTCAACGAACTCTATCTCTTTTTGATCTATATTATTCTATTCATCTTTCTCGGAGAATTTTTGCAAACTTTGAACCCAAATTTTGTATATTTCTAAAACTTGTGATGTACTAATGCAAAGCGACATTGTACCGAGACGCGTCTGGTCGATATTTTTGGATAAATTTGTTCGTAGGTACAACGTGGAACCAAAAATGTTTATTTGTATCTGTTTATATTCATTTTTACATTATACGTGTAATTTACGTGATCGTTCGATTGCGTAAGATTTTTTGGCTAATTCAATTATTTATAAACTTATTTATATTTTTTTTGAAATAAAAACAATTATTTAATACATACATAATTAAGTAATATAACAAAACTTGTTACATCGAATCTTAAAAAGGCTATATTGCTAAGTAAGCTCTAACAAATATTCGTATGATGTACTTTCAATTTAAATAGTCAGCTACAACTGAAATTCCTCACTACTATGATTCATGATAGCGAAAACGATTATGGGCGGCTGTAACCGTTTGCCATCTACCAAGTCGTATACTTTATTAACTTTATTGTTGTGTATAAGAAAGGATCTATACCTTTAGAATTATTTTTTTAATTTATTGATGTTCCGTAGCCAATCCTATTTCTTTTATCTAGTAAATAGCGGCCGAAAATATGCGCAACCGAATGTACACGTATGTAGGTAGTCGCATGAGACACTGTCCTAATTTCTAGAGACCCGGTACCAGCCGGCAAGGAGCCTAGCCAAGCCAAAAAGTATAGGCCAATAAATAATGTAGGTACACCTAACGCTTGGTGACAATGGGTTATATTGTGATAGAAGCGGTTGGTTGTCACCGCACTACAATAGGTGTGGTTTATGTACATATACACGAATATTATGTTCTCGTGCATATTTATTTCCCATTGTATATAATGTATAATTGTAATGTGAGGCGGTTATTACACTATCATATATTAAATAGATCATTCTATCGATTTATGCAGTTGTCGAGAATTTTATCTGTAAAATGTTTTAAGATATCTTGTATAGGTATTAGAAATATAGTGAGATCATTTTACGTTTATATCATGTGTTTGTAAAATATACGTTTCATAATATGATAGTGTAATAAAGCCCGAGTATAACGGGGCAGGGCGCGCAGCGTGCCGCTCGTCGACTGAATGCGGGCCTAATATTTTTGTACGCCCAATGTTTGATTTCCGCGCTGAATGCAGCGTTGCTGCGTGACCGCTGAACTAGCGCCCCCTCGTTGTTAGGTTAGATCAGTGTTTTTCAAACTGTGGTCGCGACCGTTAAGGGCCACGGTGGGTTGCGGGTAAAAGAAAGTAGATTTTTTTCACCACGAAGGTTTAGAGGGGGACTGCGTAGAGGTCGACCTGACTGACTTACCTGAAGACACCTAATATCTCAATCAATTGAGCCATTGGAAAAAATGGGTCTATTTTGGCCAATCCACTCTGGATAGACTATAGTTTTCGTCTCAGGCTTCAGGTGATCGCCTAGAATTTCAACTTACAAAGGGGTCGCGTATTCAATAAGTTTGAAAAACACTGTGTTAGGTAATATTAATAATTAATATATTATGAGAATGTTTACTTTTCCTTTTATACCTCGTTTTAATTGTTGTATATGTAATTAAATGCGGGAAGTCACTAGTGGAGGCTGCGTTTTATCACTTGACTCGTGAATATTGTGTCAGTCCTGTAGTTTCATTAGTCGTAGCCACTTTGTTTTTTTTTCTGTTATGGGTTCAGAAACCTCTTGCAAATTAATTGTATTATATTATTATCAGAGAGAGGGTGGTTTAGGACCACATATGTTAATATATTATTAATATTGGTAAAATAAATTGTTACATATGATATTTTTGTTGTTTTATTGCATTACAATTAACATTGACTTATTTCTGATGATACTACCTATATCTAAATATAGCTAATAGCGCAACCTGACGCTGTCACCCCTTGGAAACCTAAGACAGTCTCAAGTCACAAGTATTTCTAACAGTAAAAATAAAACTAATAAAGTATTAAAAATCTCATTTATTGGTATGCAATGCACTGTTACATTGATGCGACTGAATGCGTCTACTGCTGTACAGGGAATTGCGTGAGAGGTTCGCTCTCATAAACGTAACATAATAAAACAATACATTGATACTACAACATGCGTTCCTTCAGGGTACAATCTAGCCAAAGCTAACAGGGTATTACTTTGAAGTATTATAACAGTCGAAATAATTTGGATGGTCTGAAGTGTATGATCCACAGATGTATAAAATAGATGTTGTAAAACACGCACTTTTGTGTATCCATCATCATAAGAACCATTAGCAGTTCCCACTACTGGGCGTGGCTCTCCTACAAGAGGAATACATATAATGAGGTGTTATTAAACTGCTATTACAACAAAAATATGCATAGATATGCGTGTTTTTATATTTAGACCTTCATAACGCAGTAATTCAGCAGTTTTCATTCATTTTCGGATTTGACAATTTAATTGCATTTTTAATGGACTTTATAAAGTTCTGTTTCTACTAGTATTTCTAGTAGTAAGTTATGTGACTTTAATTTGTTACCGCTCTATTATTTAGTCATAATTATTAAAGTCCACATATTAAATAGTTTTCCTATTTATTAAGTTTGCGACAGACCATACAAATTAAAACTTCACATTATACTGGTGATTTAAGTATTGTAATGCAAATATAAGGCTTATTAATATTGCTCGACATTATATCTAGCATAACTTAAGCGGTGACTCAATGTCACCACTAAACAGACGTGTGGGAAAAGTACACAGTGCATATGTGCGTATTTGGCACGAATAATCTCTGCGCATATGCTTTACTATAATTTGGAGCTAGCGACTGACCTACAACTCTAAACCTGACATCACGAAGGACTATCTTTATCATGGAAGTCAGTTTATAGCGACTATACGAACTTGGGTTGTGCTGGTCAAGTTTTGTCTGTGAATTATTGAAATCTACACTAAGGAGTAGCTTAAGTAACCATTAGAACTTCTCCGAGTACGGCGGACTGAGCATATAATAATAACTATAATAAAAAATAAAAATAGACTGCGGAAGGGCTAAGTAAGAATAAATAAAGAAACAAGCAACAAATAGCTACAAAATTATTCACTGATATAGACAAGTAACAAAAAAAATTCGAATTACTTGGATGAGAAACCGGTTTTGATTTGTTACCTCTATCTTTACAATTCAATGTGTCCTTTTTCGCATCTCTTAGTCGCATATGGTAAACAAATCAATAAGTAGGAGGTTACTGTTAGTCTATACCCGTGATCTATATCCCAAATATCTCTATAGATATAGATCTATATCGACCCCCAGGGGTCTATAACAAACTGTAAGGGGTCTACGACAGCGGTCATCTTGTTGTTTTTACCTTATGTTTTTAACACTAAACTTTACTAGTTAGAAATATACAAAAAAATCAATACCAAGTAAGAATGGAGGTATACCCAAAACCTAAAAATATGGCAAAGGGTCTACGACACAGAAAAGTGTGGGAACCTCTGGTCTATACTCTCGCTAAGTCTAAATCCAGTTTCATTCATTCATATGGTGTAGGTCAGTCGATAACCAGTTTTAGGATACCGTAATCCCGCGCGAACAATATTTGAAGTCTTGACTGTGTGTCTACAAGTTCATTCATATATTACGAGTCTTATAAACATAAAATGACATACCGGCACCTAGTACATTACTGAATTATAACTCATAAACTTCAAACTATTGAAATTATACTTTTTAACTAGATATTCAGGGTTGATTTTCCAAAGCTTATATTTTCTTTATAAGCCAGTCTTGTACTAGGTGAGCGATACTGTATCACCCCATTATACACCTTAATATCATAACCCACTCGGCCGGTACCTCTAAATGCAACCCATAGTGAAAAATATTTCTATGTACAAAATAAAGATATAAGCCATCCGGCCCTGGCCCATTCCATTGATATGCCAACCAAAATGAGAATATTTATTTACAAAAAGTATAAAAACACCAAATTATGTAACAATAAAAGCTGCTCGCAGGCGGTTATTACACTATCATATTATGCAATCACATTACTATCATAAATAATATCTATTACATATAATAAAAATGATCGCCGTCTGTACATGTAAGGTTGATAATATTATATATTTTAGAATTTTTTTCTTGTGTTCGTTTGTGCGCGCTAATCTCAGAAACAGCTTAACCAAATCGGGTGAGGTTTGCACTAAAGTAAAGTAATGTGGTAAGCTTTACATATAATTGAATGTTTTGTTTAATTTCAATCATTCAAAGTCATTTTGAACACTACAATTGACATGTCTACATTTTGTTTATATTAAATAGATCGTAAAGTGAATCTGCCGCATATAATCTATCTGATTAATTTATTTGCTGTTTACATCGCCGGAATGTTAATCATAAATATAAACCCTAATAACAGTGTCAGTAGTAATCTTAATCCAGATAGTGTAATATCCTCCATATAAACGAGATTCAAGGATAAAAATAATATCTTTGTAAAATAATGTATATTTAGCACTAACATATGTATATGTTTATACTAAAGGCTTTGTTATGCATATGTAAATGTTTGTACAAATACAACAACCCATCAATGTTGAAAGTAAATTACAAAAGTACAATCTCCTTTAATTCAACCTAATGTATACTTTGATAAGAGTTTGCACGGACTATCGAAAAAAAATAGTTTTTATCCGAACTTTCTCTATGTAAATACTCTGTCAATACCAGGTTATCTGTAAGAGATCTAATAGCGATAAGACCGCCTTTTGTAATTTTTTTTGCACTGTAAGTATTGTTTTTGTTTATCTATGCGCATTACAAATTTACTATTATTATTTTCACAGACCATTCTGGGCTATGCAAAATAAGTCCACATTCTATATCGGCGACAAAAAATCTCTTAGAATCCCTCGTCTGTGCAAACCCTAATATCGTATACATATAATGTAATATAGCAGTATAATTTGTAATATTATAAAATAATTAAAACGTATTACACGAACGAAAATATTCATAATGGAACAAAATTCTTTACACAACAATAACTAAGATAAAATATTTACATATAACGTAACGTAACAATATGTTTATACTATTTATATAGACATCGAACTATGCTAATGTATAAATATGAGCATTGAACTTGTGTACCGTACAATGGAAACATCGCCGATTTAATAATAATCATTTAACATTATGAAAGAACATACAATTTTATATTTTTAAGCTTTGTCAAAATTTTGTCGCAGTAGAAAGACTTCTGAATCGTTTCCTTTACGGCAAACAAATTTAGAAAAAAAAGTAAAAAAAAAAATATAATTTAAAAGAATACAGAATCATAGACTCCGCGTATTTTTTCTTTCCACGCAAAATCTAATCGGCATATTCTATCATAAATGCCTATATAATTTTATAAATATTTTTTTAAGAATATTGTTCTATACATTTTCTAATTATATGAAATAATTATAATTTAAGTATCTAAAACGAGATGTCATTATACTATAGCGACACGTTAAAACTGCCGTGTTTACGTAGTTACCTAGTAGTTTTGTGTATTATTTCGATTTTGGTTAAAATTATATTTATAAATCACAGGTATTTAAAATCCGAGCGAAATTGTTATTAATTTTGTGACATTAACAAAAATTATACCATCTTTATAAATTATAAATGATCCACCAATTCATAATTTTTTTTTATTTCTAAGCATATTGAATCAAAATGGAACATTAAGTAAATAAGTTTATTTTTAATCTCAGTTATTAATATTTATTTTAAAAATTACTTTAGTTAAAATTCAGTATAATTTAGGAACACTTTCTGACAATGCTTACGTCTGGCAATAACGTAAACAAACAAATCACACCATAATTTACAAAGCATTTCAAGATGGTCAATTTTTATATTTCTTAAATATATAATTAAACCATTCAGAGATTTAATAATTCTATATAAAATCTCCAAATAGATCGAGTCGAGTCAATAAAGTCGTAAATCGTGACAAATGGCATTACAATCAAAATAATATAAACAAAGAAACAATCCATATTATATTATAGATTAAATATAACGAATATATTTTGTACCAATTTGCGGACGAATTTAGGTCACAGTGCATTGGTAAAGTCGACATTAGACATAGCTTCGAATACGCAAATGCTTACAAATTCGCCGTATTGCAAACATTTCATATTTGAACAAATATTTGCTCTTTGGCATCCGGTGTCAAAGTTCAATTATGGTACATGTGTATACCGAAAAGTCTAGTATTGACTAAAACTGAAGAGTGGCATGATGTCAAGTGGGAGCTTTCACACTTTGACATTGCTAAATAGTATAGTTTTTAGCAAAAGCTGTAATTTCACTAAAACATCTCACGGTTAAATCTAGAACAAAGCCTATGGAAGTTGCTTGTCGGTCTAAATAGATTTGACTGAGGTATCCACGCAGACAATTTTGTGCATAGTCTATGTTGGTTTACAATAAAACGTCAAGTATATGTTGGATGATCTTCAAATATGTGTTCAAAACTTTGAAGCTATATATCGCCAACCTCAAAAGATTTAACCTCCTACAAAGAAATTAAAATATAAAATCTTGTATTTGTTAAATTTGTCTTTCAAACCTCGTACATCACTGTATTTCTAAAATTACAGGCCCTAGGTACGTGCCTTGGTTACCTAGGCCTTAGTCCGCCCCTGCGAAGGCCATTCATCTTGTAGGGTTGGCGTCCCTGTTTCATGGTTACGCGTATAGCTGTGAGCTGCCTCGCCTAGTCGGTTATAGTGTCGGTGTAGTGTTCACTGCAGACACGCTTGCAGTTTCTCGATCCACTCTTGCGCCGCATTCGCGTCGCTCGCACAAAAGTTGTACGTGCGTCGACTCGTCCGTAACTGCAATAGTAAACATTTATTTAATTATTATTTCTGATACATAAATATATTTATTTTTTCTGTCCAATGCTAATCTAATGCGGTTGGTCGCAGCTAGCCTTTACAACTTCACCGGACGATAGGGCGCGAGTGCAGATGGCACTCCAAACCCGCGGAAGGACTTAAGGAGCGACTGAAGGCCAACTCCCGCCTGACGGATACGACTTTAGTCTGAGGGCACCGCTAGGGGTTCGAACCTCGACTCAAGCCGTCGTAATTTTGATTTCCCTTTGAATTGGATCGAAGGGCATTTTTTTTATGTAATAGATATAGAACACTAAATTAAAATTAACAACTTTCACTCTATACACTGTCGCTGGATCTTCGAACTCCGCACAATATGGTATATTTATATACGATTAATTATTTACATTTATGGAGCTTTGCTACATCATATTACATCTACAAAAATGTTTCCATCAATTGTTAATTGCGCCCACAGCGCCATCATTTTATTAATATATTTTTATATACTAAATAAAAAAATACTAGTTTTAGTTTAGTTTTTTCCTGCAGAAATATTTATATTAATTATAAGTATCAGACCCTCCCTATAAATACTAACTAATAATCAGGATAATTTATAATAATTAATTTACCTTAAATATGATTTTAATTACTAATAAAAATGAGTCATTGTTACTTGAAAAAAATAACATACTGTTCTGTTTCTACTCTTTGAGGTACAGATAAAAATACCAATTGAAGTTACTATAATTTAGAAAATGCATGAATATGTAAAGTAAATAATATGGTGATGATATTTAAATTTATATAAACTCACGTCAAAGAATGATCTGTCGTCACATTTCTTAGGCGGTCCGGGCGCGGGCGGAGCCTGTGTCACTGTGATTACTTCACCCAGGTCTGTACAATACAAAAGACAAATAAGACAAAGAAAACAAAGAAGACAAAATAGACGAAGTAGACGAAGAAGATAAATAAGACAAAGAAGACAAATAATCTACACATTCAAAAGCCGTAATATCGGGCTACTCGAACAAATACACAAATAGACTATTGCTATTGAGTAAAAACAACATATGCATGATGACTGGGGCCCTCACAGGACACTGCAAGTTGAACAAGCATATGGCTTAACTAGGCCTATGCACAACAAAAATCTGCAGATTCTGCCAAACTGAAGAGGAAACGCCACTACACATCCTATGTGGTTGTAGCCCACTCATGCATAAACGAAATATCTCCCTTGGAAAGTTTACACTCTTTCCCGAGGAGATAAAAACCATCGCTCCTAAGAATATCCTTTAATTCTTGTCCCTGACGGGTCTAGGTAGCGAACTTTGAAAAAGGGCGAGCACAATAGATCTATGCAGGTCGCAGTGCTACAGGTGCAGGTATCTGACAATAGCCCAAACTACCCAATAAAAAAAAGAATTTAAATAAATGTACACCCGTGTGACACACCTGGATACTTCAATGCAATTCATTAAGGCTAGTAACCTAAAATATTGTTTTAAGAATTACACAATCCATGTCATCCTTACATTTTACCATTGTTATATTATACACAACATTCTCGCGACACAATGTTAGTTATCATACTCCTCCGAAACGGCTTGACCGATTTTTATGACATTTTATATAGCATAGCATATTCAGTAGGTTTGAGAATTGACTATCTATTTTTCATACACTTAAGTTATAAGGGTTGTCCACCCCTATTGTTTTTATTATTTTATAATGTGGTATTAAAACATACATACAACCCCAAATTTTTCCTCTATTTTTAAGAGGGGTTGGTGCTAGAAGGGTTTTATTTAAGAGCGGTTTTAATTTATACGGCAAAACATTATTTACCGGGACAGCTAGTTGTTGTATAAGATCAATATTATATATATTAATTAATATATTAGTATACATATGTTGAAGACATATCTCACCAATAAATCCTTTACAGTGCGAATCCTCCATGGCGTCATAGTACCGCAACTGATGCTTTATCGAGTCCAATACGAACCATCTGAAATACGTAATGACATATATTTATTATATACGTTAGCACTATATTTTTCTTTTAAATCGCTAAATATTTTAAGTAGGTGTAGATGTAGATGTTTTATAAAATATTGCTATATATAGTACGTAAGTCATTTGTTTTGTAAAAAAAAGGCAGTCATTGTTTTAGTGAAAAATATGCTGATACAAAAGAAATCATGTGTGATTTTTTTTTGTTGTGAATTTTCAACCATTTCCTGGTTAGTTTGAAACCATAGTTGGACCCGATAAGTGGTGCTGCTTTTGCTAACAGGACTAGTTTTATATAATATATATATATAAACCTTTGTTTCCATCCTTTGAGTAGTGCACCTCGCTTGTACAAGTGACCCTCGTGGGTTCGATTCTCGGCTACGTTCGACGAGAACTGCTCGTAATATTGCTGCGACGACGATTGTAGTGTCGCCACGCCTGCGTAACAGATAAAGAAAAATAGATTATTATAAAATCGCTATAAATTGTCTGAAGTTGAAATATTGCATATGTTGGTAGTTATGTGAAGTGTGGAAGGAACGCCGGCGCCTTGTACTTGGTGCAGGGCAGTAGTGTGGAGTGTGGAGTGTGAGTGTGGGGGGACGCGACGCTAGCGACTGACTGTTGGCGGCGGAGGGCCGGTCGCGGTCTCGGTCGCGGTCGGCGGCGGGCGGCGCCTTGTACTTGGTGCAGGGCAGTAGTGTGGAGTGTGGAGTGTGAGTGTGGGGGGACGCGACGCTAGCGACTGACTGTTGGCGGCGGAGGGCCGGTCGCGGTCTCGGTCGCGGTCGGCGGCGGGCGGCGCCTTGTACTTGGTGCAGGGCAGTAGTGTGGAGTGTGGAGTGTGAGTGTGGGGGGACGCGACGCTAGCGACTGACTGTTGGCGGCGGAGGGCCGGTCGCGGTCTCGGTCGCGGTCGGCGGCGGGCGGCGCCTTGTACTTGGTGCAAAGTAGTGTGGAGTGTGGAGTGTGAGTGTGGGGGGACGCGAGTTAGCGAACTGTTGGCGGCGGAGGGCCGGTCGCGGTCTCGGTCGCGGTCGGCGGCGGGCGGCATAATTTTGTGCAGGGCAGCGCGAAATTGTGGCAGTCCGCGCCGCAGTCCACGCAACGAACGCCCGTCTGTGAGAAACAACACCGGATTATAGTTTAAAGCTGTGAAGGTTATAGTACCAATCTTTACATTGTAGCTCTTAATTAATTGTACAAAATTATTAAATATAAGTAACAAGTTACAATACTTTTGGGAATGCATAATTTTGTAAATTGTGTATTAAAATAAAAAAATACTTAAATTTCAATGTAGATGAGAATTCCGTCCATAGTTGAGTCTAGTCTTGGTTGACCGAGCTGAAAACTGTGAAAGAGAACCTCCTCGAGCTGAAACCTTGAGACAATATGTACAGTACCTTGAGCGGCCCCCACAGCAGGTCCTGGCAGTGCAGGCAGCGCGCGGGCGCGGCGGCGGCGGCGGGCGCCCAGCGGTGCGCGGGGGCGGGGGGCGGCGGGGGCGGCGGGGGCGGGGGCGTACCTTGAGCGGCCCCCACAGCAGGTCCTGGCAGTGCAGGCAGCGCGCGGGCGCGGCGGCGGCGGCGGGCGCCCAGCGGTGCGCGGGGGCGGGGGGCGGCGGGGGCGGCGGGGGCGGGGGCGTACCTTGAGCGGCCCCCACAGCAGGTCCTGGCAGTGCAGGCAGCGCGCGGGCGCGGCGGCGGCGGCGGGCGCCCAGCGGTGCGCGGGGGCGGGGGGCGGCGCGGCTGCGAGGCGGCCCCTCACCAGCACCTCGAGCGTGCCCCGCTTGTGCCACGCCAGCGTCGCGCGCCGCACCACGCCCGACGACATCGACGACGCGCGCTGCACGCACACCACGCACGCACGCACGCACGCACGTCAACACAATGCGCACCAATGCATGTACGCATTTTTTTGTGTTGACGTGCGTATATTCCATTCGCATAACAACCACAACCACAAGTTATATATATTACTGAAAATTTCTATATGATTTCCTCTTTCGTTGCTGCTTTATATAATTATAGCAAATGTATGAACTAACTTGCTGCTTTATGACGTATTATGATCTCATAATTTTACATAGGCGTTTACAGTGTACTACTACCCATTCTTAACATCAACTGCCATATTGAGGTAATGGTTATTCATATCCTAGAATATCTGACGAGATATTGCCTTACTTCTTAATTGATTAACTTTTAAATGAAGTGTAACATATAACTCATAAAACAAATATGGTATATTGTAAATAAACGTATTGAGTCGCATATTATAACTAAAATGAAAATGTTTATTTCTTTAAATAAAGAAATAGAATAAAACATTGTGTGGATGACCTAGTAAGCATAGTGATGACTGTCTTTTTATTATTCGTGTATACAGACCTGCAGCTCGAGTGTGTTTGGCAGCTCCAATTGTTCCCAACGCACACGCCATTTCTGCGGTAAATGACCTAGCTCCAATTCCAGCTGCCGAATCCGCTCCAGCAATCCGGAGAATGCATCCGGCATGCTGCGCGCTATGCTATCGTATCTGTTACGAGCATATTATTGTAACTTTAATAAATTACTCCATAAATATTTAACTTTAAATGTAGGTTGGAGGCTGTCCGATATTTCGTGAGGCACGAAATATCGGAGGGGAGGTTCGACAAAGGTTCCACAAAAATCACGAAATATCTGAAAGGGGCAGGAGGGTATATTTATTATATCACATGTAATTATTTTTTCGTCAAACGCGCGATTAATAAATTGTAAAGCGGCCTATAGTATGACCGTGACTTTTCTATAGCCCCTCTCTAAAGAAACATCACGTGATTTATGGGCGGCCTCTTGCACAACGGTATGGACGCAAAAGATACAGAAACTCATAGTTACCCCGCGGTGATGAGGCGGCGCTGGGGCTGCGCGTGCGCGGGGGCGGCGGGGGTGTTGGCGGCGGGGGCGGCGGGGGCGGCGGCGGGGGGCGGCTCGCTGCCCACCACCTCCAGGTCGTAGGGCGCGCCGTGGCACAGCTCCTCGCTCACGTAGTACTGCCACACCTCCAGGCAGTGGATGGCGGTCACCGGTCGCAGCACCTGCGTATGCACTCTCATGATGACCTGCCTTTACACGTACGTTCATTCACGCGAGAATAGGCTTTGACGAAAGAAAAAACATTCTAGAGATTGATGTTTTCTGTTCCACTTGTGCTGTATGTTGTTCATAACGACCTATGATATGTTCCTACATAACATTGTAAAGATTCTGATGATCGAGAACTTGATTCGCGTTAGAATTTTATAAAGACTAAGTTGGGGCATGACGCTAAAAAGGTTGAGAAACACAGATCTAGATTGTACGTGTCACAGTAAACTCATACGCTCAAGTTTAGACTATGGCTAATAGCAACACAATTTGCCGGACACAAAAGAAAAGAAAAAAAAAGTTTAGAACACTCACCGGATTGTCGAGGTCGGGCGTGTAGAGGAAGTTGTAGAAGACCGGCGACTTCTGGTGGTGACGGTCGATGTAGTCGAACAGTGACTGTCCGTGGTGCGCGCGTGGTGACGAATATCCACCCGCATACGTACCGCCGGACTCTTCTTCGGACCCTGCGCCTGTCTCCACGCCCTGTCACAATTTTAATTAACAATCCTTCTCTGTATAAACTATAAGTGTGCGAAATTTCCATCCGCGCAATTTTCTTAAAAAGCGTTAATGTTATTTCGTTAAAATTAGTTGCGTAGTTGAAAAGATCTAAGCAATCAGACAGCTGAAGCGACTTTATAATATGTAAAGATTATCAGGATTAGTTTTTATATGTTAAATACTTACCAGGCGACTGGTATCTGCGCGTTTATCATCAGCGGCGGTAATGCCCAGCTCAGCACGCTGCGCCTCGTTGTCCAATAGGAAAGTGCGGAAACGACACGACACGCTGTGGTACGCAATGAACCGCAAATAGTAGTCGTTGAACTCAAACGCCAGTGGGAATTGCTTCTGGAGCTGTAATGTTTATTTTTAATTATTTAGTTCTGGTTAGCAATGGCAATATTATAAATACCTTATAGACTAACATGAGTCGAGGTTCGAATTTCTTACAGTGCCTTTAGACTAAAGTCGTACTCGTCACGCAGCAGTTAGGCTTCAGCCGCTCCGTAAGTCCTTCCGAGGGTATGGTGTGTGTTATCAGTACCATATGCACTCGCCCCTATCATCTCTCATTCTCTGTTGCGGGTAAAAGATACGATGTTGTTGGTCGAGACGATGTATATTACAGATGGTAATAAACTGACAATATGTACATAGAAATAATGATCTTATATACTAAATAACAATAGGAAAATGTAAGGTGGGGTGACACAGTTTATACACAGCAGTGCTTAGTAGACAATATTGAATTTGTCTTACTAGACATTATTAAATGTAATTATTATTTTGATGTATCTAGATAACTGTGTCCCATATTCTCCAATCTGCACCAGCAAATCATTCCCCTCTAAATATATCCGTGATGTCAGATAGCTAATACCAATAAGAATTTGTAGGACTCTCACCTGATGAACAGCGTCAAGAAACATGAGGAATGTCGGCGTGAATCCCTGCTGCGGGGTGGCTGCGATGTTGGACCGCTGCTGGAACTTGTGGCCTAGAGCTAACCATTCCTTCTCTACGATGATACGAAAACCTTCCAGTGTACGGTAGTAAGGTTCTAGACAAATTTGTGCTAGCGATGAAATCTAAAAACAAGAAATTACACAATGAAATATTTCTTTACACAAAGAAAATTATAATTATAATTAATACCCACTTGATGGTATATACACGGTTAGGTTATTAGTAACGGGAATTTTTGTCCTCATTGCTACAAATGTCCTAGTGTCAGAGAATAGACTAAACTACATAGTTGCTCTTAGAAAATAATAATAATACATTCATTTATTGCCAATATCAGTATAGTTACACAATTATACATATTTAATATGATTGGCAATAGGTACAAACTCAGCTATTGTTGGACTGATGGGCGTCCAGCGCTGGTTTTCAGTTTGTACCTACGCAGGCGTACCTAATCACACGTGCTAGATAACCATACCACATGTAATTTTTTTTTGTGTATCTACAAAAAAAAAATCACATATCATGTCGAGATTTGTCGCCGCTATCCAAGAACTGTCTCTGTCTAACTAATATAATTTTCCTTAAAGAATTTTTAAATTTTAGCGGTATTATCATTTGGCGTAAAATCATCATCAGCGTAGTAATCGTAATTAATAAATAATTAATTCTTGATGAATTCGGCGGGATAATATAAATACGTAAAACGGAAATTAAAAAGGGGTGCAAAGTTTTTATATTGTATTGACAGGATCTGTGGTGAAAGTAAACATACAGTAGGGTTTGAATTTGCGTATTTGTTTGTTACATCTTGAATACTCTAACTTACACTAGTTATAAGGGTATAAACTAAACGCTATGAACAGCGTGACGTTAGAAAAAGTTACTGACTGGTACAATCTATTTTACGTGCTGAAATATAAATACTATATCACAACATAATGATACCTGTGCGGTGACGTCCCAGCCGTCTTCGAGCGACAGTAGTACGGATGAGCCCTGCAAATCCAGTAGATCCACAACTGCACCCGAAAGTTGAAACAATTGCCTGAGCTGCCACAACCAGCCGGACTCTTCTATTAATCTATAAACATAAAAATGTTTTTAAGTCAATCGTTTACGATATAGGCAGAGGTCTGAATGTTTGTAACCTCAGTCTTATTCTGTAAAATCAGTTTTTAGAATCTGCCTTTAAAAATTATATAAGTATGTCTTAAATTAGAAAAGTGGCTCCGATTAACTTTATACCTTAATATTTCAATTGGAGGTCTGTATATTACCTAAATAAATGTCAATAGCTGAATAATATTCAATTATGTATAAGAAAACGAAACTATACATCTATTACGAAAGGGGAAAAGTTTTCCGTTTAACTGGGCCCATAACCTGTCATCCATCAAAACGCTCCCGGAAGCGTAAGTTCTCCGTCCCTGGGTCCCTTAAAATGCCTCGTAGAGTTTCTGTTGAAACTGGGCCCACAACCCGGCGCGTGCGTACCTGAGGAAGCCGGGCTCCTCCGGCGCGGCGGCGGCGGAGGGCACGGCGGCGCGCATGAGCTTCTTGAAGGCGTGCTTGGTGTGGCGCGCGTCCGCGTACTCCACGGGCACGTGCTCGCAGGCCGCCGCCGCGCCGCCCCCCGCGCCCGCGCCCGCGCCCGCCCCCGCGCCGCCCCCCGCGCCCTTCTCGCCCACCACGTACAGCGCCGCGCGCCGCGCGCCCCCGCACCCGCCCTCGCCCGACACTGCAACATTTCGTTGTCGTTCGTTCGAGCATGCATAACGAACAATTATACAAATCCAGTTTGTCACATATGCAGTGCACAGCCCTATCACAAAGTGCTGAAAAGCAGAACTTATACGAGCCGAGGAACGAACGAGTCTGTAATACCACGACTATAGTAGTTGGACAGTTTTAACTGGGATATTGTTAATTTCATATTAAATCTGTTAAACTCAATGTTCTTGTGGCGACTGTGATTTGTGTTACTACTTCTGAGGTGGATTCCTGCTAACATAGAACAGTGTCACGTATTTTATTTATAGTTAGTACTAAAATGTAGTATTTTATTAATAAATTAAATTGAAGTTAAATTTTATTTCGTTTTTTTATGCTCGCTGTGTAATCAAATAACATGACATATAAAAAAACTCTTCAAAAATACAAATTGAAAAATATCAAAAAAGTTCTGCGGTCGGTCGCCAACACGCTGGATATATAGTAAGTGCGGAATATATATATAAAATGTCGAGTGTAATATAGAAAATCGCGTGCAAATATTAGCGAAATTAAATAAAATAATTTAAATCCAAGTAAGCGAAATAATACTAAGCTATTGAGAGAGATGATTTAAAATCACAGCGACAAACCGACCTGAATCAACATCGGCCGTTGATAGCCTCTGCCGCGGCGCGTACAGCTCGAGGTGCGAGGGCTGGCGGCGGTCCTTCAGGGAGCCCCACCGCCCGAAGTGCCGGCCGCCGCCCGGGTTCACGCCGCCCTTTCCGCCACTGTTGCGACCCAACACGCTGTCGACGGTTATGTATAATCGTTCGTTTAAACTCTACACACGATACTATTTCATATCCCCTCCGAACAATACCTTGTACAATTCAAACGAGGATCGAAATTACAGCCCGAGCTGAGGTACGAACCCCTAGCGGTACCCTCAGACTAAAGTCGTATTCGTCAGGCAGGAGTTGGCCTTCAGCTGCTCCATAAGTCCTTCCGTTTCGTTTGGTGAAGCTGAAACCCAGCTGCAGCCAACAGCATTAGATCGGTCATATCTCGATCCATATTTTATACTGTTGTACAATTTGTTTCATACGTTATCATTTACTAAGACTCCGCTAAAAATCAGAGCTGTAGCTTCGCCCGCAGCAACATTTGGTATAGCTGTGTGGATATCAATACATGTCTGCCAATTCAGGTAAAGCTTCAGCTATTGTCAAAAATATTGGCTAAATAAATTGATAATACTTTTATTATATCTAATATAGAGCTGAGTCAAATTCTCATTTGGCACGTTAGACGCCCACAATTAACCTCCGTTTTTTCTTGTAACTTTATATAAAGTTTTACATAAATGTGTCAAAGTAGATTCTTATTTTTAAAGCAGCTATTTAGACAGTATGCGTCCTTAAAGTAAAGTATTTGGGGCGCATATCCGTCAGCGAGCACCTGAGAGTTCCGGCGGCCTTGGAGAGGAGCGGCGTGTGTGCGTGGGGCGCGTGGGGCGCGTGGGGCGCGTGGGGCCCATGGGGCGCGTCGTCGCAGGCCAGCAGCAGCGAGTCGAGGCTGAGGCTGGAGTCTTGTAGCGAGCCTCTTCTCGCCGGCGTGCAGGCCGCCAGTGTTGCCACATACCGTTCCTGACCATTATTACACACTCATTACTATGTTTCTTTTCCTAACATCGAGATCAACTTTCTATTCTATTCTATTCTATCTACCCTGCAATATCACTGATATATTTCACCATTTAAACCAAAACACAGTTTACAAAACATTATTTTACGGTTGACACAAGTGAGACGATTTTGTAGCAGTCTATTTGGGTCATATATGTGACTATGTTTAATATAAAGGACAGAGAGAAACATGTTCACTCCTTCGAGTTGCAATGATATATAACAACAAACATTAAATCGTCTATATACGGTACATACTTGTTCTAAACTGGACGTGGTTTCGGTACCACTTTGGGTAGTACCAGGCGTTTGGTGACTAGCTTTCAACATTCCCATCACGCCTTTATGATGGGGCGCTGCCGATCTGTAACAAGAATATAAAATAGAATATCTCATACATATAGATATAATTTCCAAAACCCATAGGCAAAACGGTTCTCGAAACAAAATAGCTCTGCTATGATAAGTCTTGAAATGGTGTTGCAAGGAGTTAATGATTGCAGGTTTGTTTAATGTATGACAATGGAATGGTTCACCCGTTCGCGCTAATGGTATCGGTATCAGTATGAGAAGTATGAAGTCAGGTCAATTAGCCTGTAGTGACGAATTCACCAGGAATTCATCACGAAGGTATCAATGAACTGCCCCTGCCCCTCTTCCCCACTGGGCACGTGTCCAGGGCTCCACAATGGATTGGGGCCCCCTAGTCTGGGCTAGATTCTGGCTAGCTGATTATAAAATCTAGCAAGAACTTCATCACATGACGACTTTTTGAAATTATTTTTGCCTTGTTTGTTTTGAAGGTAGGGCAACCACATATACATCTCTAAAGAGTCAAATTCAAAAATGACTTTGTCTATTCTAACAAAATAGTGCTTTATTATTGGTCTTAGGCCCCATTACCCCAATGTTGGGTACATTGGGCCTCTAATAGGTGAAAGACGGCCCTGTCCATGATCGAATAGCGTAGAGGTTGACCTGACATTGTTTATTACTAACAATTCCATCCCCAAACGTACCTGGCCAGCAGTGCGTGTGTCCGCGGATGGCGCCACGTGATGACTGGCAGCCGACCCTGGCGGTAGCAGCGCGCGATCCGCCGCAATGATTCGTCGCCGATGCTCTCCGGTACCGGTATCAGTGCTGGGTAGCTGCAGAAACGTGAACCGTTTTAATCATTATTGATCATTAGTATTAATTATTAAGTAATTTGAGTAATTGAAAGTCTGTAGCCGGATAAATAATTCCAATTTTTCCTTTATACTTTTAATGGCGTATTTATATGTATTCGCACTCACGGGTGTACATGCAAGTGCGAGGGAGAGAGTGAGGACGGAGGGAGGGGAAAGGGAGCAGGGAAACAGAGGAGAGCGAGAGAGGGTGAGAAAAACAAGGGAGAGTGAAGGGAGAGAGGGAGAGGAGCGAGTGTGCGAAGGAGAGAGAGAATACCTCCTGCAGAGCCAGTAGACGGCGTTGGCGTGCGCGAGGCGGAAGGGCGGCCGCGCGAGGCCGACGCGCGCCCAGTCACGGGCGTGGTGCGGCGTGCGTGCGGGCGAGGGAGAGAGGGAGAGAGCGGAGAGGGAGAGAGAATACCTCCTGCAGAGCGAGTAGACGGCGTTGGCGTGCGCGAGGCGGAAGGGCGGCCGCGCGAGGCCGACGCGCGCCCAGTCACGGGCGTGGTGCGGCGTGCGTGCGGGCGAGGGAGAGAGGGAGAGAGCGAGGAGCAAGGGAGAGAGAATACCTCCTGCAGAGCGAGTAGACGGCGTTGGCGTGCGCGAGGCGGAAGGGCGGCCGCGCGAGGCCGACGCGCGCCCAGTCACGGGCGTGGTGCGGCGTGCGTGCGGGCGAGGGAGAGAGGGAGAGAGCGAGGAGCAAGGGAGAGAGAATACCTCCTGCAGAGCGAGTAGACGGCGTTGGCGTGCGCGAGGCGGAAGGGCGGCCGCGCGAGGCCGACGCGCGCCCAGTCACGGGCGTGGTGCGGCGTGCGTGCGGGCGAGGGAGAGAGGGAGAGAGCGAGGAGCAAGGGAGAGAGAATACCTCCTGCAGAGCGAGTAGACGGCGTTGGCGTGCGCGAGGCGGAAGGGCGGCCGCGCGAGGCCGACGCGCGCCCAGTCACGGGCGTGGTGCGGCGTGCGTGCGGGCGAGGGAGAGAGGGAGAGAGCGAGGAGCAAGGGAGAGAGAATACCTCCTGCAGAGCGAGTAGACGGCGTTGGCGTGCGCGAGGCGGAAGGGCGGCCGCGCGAGGCCGACGCGCGCCCAGTCACGGGCGTGGTGCGGCGTGCGTGCGGGCGAGGGAGAGAGGAGAGAGCGAGAGAGGAGAGAGACCTCCTGCAGAGCGAGTAGACGGCGTTGGCGTGCGCGAGGCGGAAGGGCGGCCGCGCGAGGCCGACGCGCGCCCAGTCACGGGCGTGGTGCGGCGTGCGTGCGGGCGAGGGAGAGAGGGAGAGAGCGAGGAGCAAGGGAGAGAGAATACCTCCTGCAGAGCGAGTAGACGGCGTTGGCGTGCGCGAGGCGGAAGGGCGGCCGCGCGAGGCCGACGCGCGCCCAGTCGCGCGCGTACGCACGCTCACGCACGCGCTCCAGCGTACGCGCCGCACATTCCGTACTCTCCGCGCCCGCACACCCACTCACGTCCAGCTCCTCCACTGCAGCACATACGAAACATTCATTGTTACACGTATGTAGCCTGCATGATTATCAAAGAAATTCTACACAGTTATTTGTATGAAAAGATATTTCAAGTTATACTAATGTTATCTATAGATATAAATTTACACAGTTATGTGGAGTATACTCACATGAGAGCGTATCGGCGGAGAGTGATCCCATGAGTGGTGGCGAGGTCAGTGACCGCGCGTCCGCCGACGGCAGGACGTACTTCTGTCGTTTGGACGGCTTCGGCTTCAGTCCCGCTTTCCGCGCCGTTTTCAGTAGGGTCTTCTTTGCGAAACCCCTGTCGAGATCGATGTGCTTATTAGCTTCGCTATAGTACAAGCATAATGCATGACTGCATCGAGAGTTAGTCCCGCAGTGTTAGTGTGATGTGGTGTAAACTGCAGTGCAGTGCAGTGTATTGTAGTGTACGCAGTGTGTCCTCACTTGAGCGTGTGGTGCTTCGTGTGGTGATGCGGCGGAGGAGGAGCAGCGCGGGGCGCAAGCGCGAAGTGCAACTGCGGCGCGGGGGGGTGCCGCAACCGCGCTAGCTGCTTCCGGAACGCCTCCGTTTGTTCGCTGCTCACTTCTTCGTCCAGCGCCACCTGCCGACATTTATAAAATATTAGCACTTTATTATCTTGCTGTCCTAACTTTATTGTCATTGCTTGTCTTGTGAAATGTATTCATTTTTAATCGTCAATCCATCTTTTTATAAGAAAGTTTAGGTTTGAATGTTCGTTTCTTATATACACAAAACAGACATCACGTCTTCATGTAACATCTGTAGTAGGTTCTCAATTATATGGTGCCATTCCGGTGGACTGAGATTTTATGCCTCTATACCCCTAAATATTTGACCCTCCAATTGCCACTTTACATGCAACATGTATGTTATCATCTTCCAGACGCTATTAAAAGTGGCATATTTTAAACACCAAATAGATGCAGTACCTTGATGAGTTGGAATGTCGCGGAGCGTAGCTGCAGCCCCTCCTGCAGTGGCTGCTCGAGGTGCGGAAGATGATGTGTTCGAATGGGTTTCTCGCGCGTCAGCGAGCACAGCGGGAACGATCGTAACACCGTCTGTTCGCACGCTGTAAATATACACAGCTGTGTTGATCATTCTACGTTAAAATATCACAAAAGTATTGTGACATTTATAATTTATAAAACAGATTTTGTTTAGACGTACCTTATAATACATATATATTAATCGTAATTGTAATAAAAAAAACGTATGATGTCGGTATATATCTTGAAGTAGAAACGGTTTTATTGCTAACACTAACAAAGTTTTGGATGTGATAATAACTGCTTAAAGTGGGTTAAGCATTATCCGGCTCGAAGGATCATTTAATACATAGAAACTCGGCCGTCCGCCTCCAGCTCCAGCAGGTGCGGGAGCAGCGCGTGCAGAGAGAGTACTGACCGAAGGGGTCGGCGGGTGCGCCCTTGAAGAGCACGCGGTAGTTGGTGAGGAACAGCGCGCCGTCGGCCGGCAGCAGCGCGGCGGAGCGGCCATCCGCCACCAGCACCGCTCGCAGAGCTGGCGCCGCCAACGCCTCGCCGTTCACCAGTGCCGGCGGAGCGATGCGCGGCTGCAGACAATACATATTCCACTCATCTTATTTACCACACTTGGTACTTCCCTAAGATGGCCCGGGTCGACTGACGATGACATGATTTTATTGTTTGTACAGTAGAGAAATTAATTAAACTTTTGACACAAGTATACAACATTCATATAGACATGTTTCTGTATAAAGATGGCATTCGCTTCATTATAATAAAATTATTCATTTCAAAAAAAAAATTAGGCGTTCCACAAAGATGAAATCTACGGCCACGAGTATTAAAAATAAGAGGACATTTATTATTAGTACACAACTCTGTTAATGAATATTACGTACCTTCTGAACAGGAGGCAGCCGACGGCTCTCTCTCGCGACAGCATCCAATGTTTCTAAGTGCATATGTACAACACCGGGGATCATCTGATGCAAACAGCGCACATGTTCCGCTGTTACACCACCTTCGGTACACACCTAACGATGACAAGAAAGTTTATAATTATGTAGAATAATTAATAAAATTGTTAAAATTATACTAACTTCTTTTAATTAATGAAATCATAGTTAATTTGTTCAATAATTACCTTATCAACAAATCTAGAAACCATTTTAATAACATTATTGCCAGCTTCACCGGGATCCGCTTCTTCAAAACCTGATTCTGCATCTGCACTATCTGATTCGGCAACACTGTGAACAGCAAGTGAAAGTGAAATCTTAATCAATATTACAATTATATTTTGAAGAATTATTACATTTCTTTGTTTTTTTAGGGATAACTTTTTTCTATTCTTATTTAAATACAGTAGTTTTTTTTATCAATCTTAATGTTATTAGCCTACTTAAATTTTTAACACAAATAATAAAATTAAAACTAATATTTTACGCAGCAAAACAATTCTTCTGTGATATTTACTTTGAAATTTTTTATTTTACCTATTAGTGATACTGTTGCTTGCTCTGTCGGCATCGTCTCCTCTCGCTTCCGCTCTTCTACCCGCACCCTCTAGCGGAAGTAGCAGATACACCATCCTGTTAGCGTAATGTATCGCTTGGCTGTATAAAGTAGACTCTTCGCTGGCTATTAACTCCCGTTGCTTCTCTGTAAACAATTAAACGAAATTTTGTAATTAAATATTTCTGTATCAGTATACCCGTATAGAACGTACACGTAAAGTAGTTGTATATATTGTATGCCTATATATTTATATTTTAAAAGCAAACTAGTTTGTAGAATTCATTCGCTATTCCACATGAAAAATAATAATCTATTTATTAGTACATACTACTATTACAGACTGAGCGTATTTTGTCACGAGGAATAGAAACTCTGTAAATACTATACATATTTGAAATACTTTCTCTGTTGTAAAAGTTTTTGTAAAAACGTTTCGTTAACTTTGATCGACTTGACTTTTACGTACCTGGAACTAGACTGGGCCATAATCTCATTTGCTCGGCGGCAATTTCCAACGCGCTGGGCTCTTGCGCCTTCAGTAATGATATGTATTCTTCATCGTCTCTAATAAACAATTTATAAAACCATGAATACGACATAAACTTGGTAATCTACGTTTTAAGATGTCCTAATTCAATGTTTATCTTACTAATATTAAAAACGAGAAAGTTAGAAGTATGGATGGATGTTTGTTACTCCTTCACGCAAAAACTTCTGAACAAATTTTAATGAAACTTTGCAGTAATATAGGTTATGCATCAGAATAATCATCATGCATAATACATCTGCTCTAATCACTATGACTGATTTCCTCTTATTAATTGTTTAATCAGTTGGTTATATATTCAATATTTTTTCTATTTGAGTATTTAATTGAATTAGTGCTAATTGGTGGTTTGTATTCACACACTTAAACTTAAAAATGTAAAGTAATAATAAAATTATTTAAAAGAGCAACACGCAAGTTTTTTGGTCGTTCTTCTTGTGATGAGAAAGCTTTCCGAACGAGCGGTAGATTAAAAAATGTAATGACTATTCAAAAGTGCTTCAATGTAAGTTTATTTGAATAAATGATTTTCTATTCTATTCTATTCTAATAACACATAGGCACACACACATATATTTTAAAATGATATGATGTAAATTAAAAAGGCGAAATATAACGATAAATGTCCAGTAAGCACACTGCTTTACTTCCGGTGGTCACGGGTTAGATTCCAAGCACGGTTAAAACATTTATATTAATGACTTGTATTAGTTTAGTGTATTAGTTTTCTATGTATATTATTATGTATGTATGAACAAAAGAAATGTATCTCTGTATTCATATCATTTCTCTAGTATCCATAACACAAGCTCTGCTTAGCTTGGGACTAGATGGCGCTGTGTGAATTGTCCCGAGATATTATTATTATTATTATAATTTTCTATTTATTGCAATTGTTATCGAATGTATTGTCTCTACTACTGACCTGGGACTAGGCACCCTCTGATGATGTGTAGGACTCGGCAGGTACAACGCCTTGATATCTCTCTGTACATCTTGATAAAATGCTGCCTCCCAGAATTGCTGGCTTGTCCACACCGCATGCTCCTGCAATATCCATAAAATATAGAAGGGAAGCGTCTATTTCTATTTGTTAACTCTCAATTTTCAATGGGTTACGAGCCCCGAACTTCCACTGACTAAAAGTGCGTGCAGACTGCCGTGTGTTTATTTAAAACTGTTGACTGTGCTACGGCCGCTAGGGCTTCTAACTTCATTTCAGACCATTGTCCCCACAACGAACGGGACATAACATCGGGCAGATGGCAACCAAAGGCGAAATGCTCATCTAGTCATATTAATAGCTTCGGTGGAAGTAGGAAAGGACCATAGTGTCCTACTCACGTACATAACGCGGACGGCATAACGTGGAGTGATTTTACTATGAACTTGAAAGTAAGTTATGTGGAGACTTAAATGAATGGAAGGGTGTCGAGTGGCAAAAATATTACAAGTGTAAAGACCATGTCTATTCAAAAGTACTTACATTAAGTTTATGTAAATAAATTATTTCTATTTAGAAAAATAAAAACTTTTTAGATAAATTCTTTGAAACAATCTGATCTACAAATAAAAACTTACTCTTTTGGAAATTATTTAATATTTGTACATCTTTCAAATTCACTCACCTGTATGCACATATATGCATATTGTATGACTCCGGTGCAAAGTTTCCTGCAATATGCGGTGGCTAATGGCAACATAGCCGCTGCTATTGAATGCTCATCAAGGGGCGTAGTAGACTGCAAGGCGCAATTCATCAACCTGCACATAAATAATATATTTATAATAAATTGGACTGTACAGAAAGTAAGATTAGGGATTATCGTATTTATAGAAGTTTAGTTGCAAAATATCGATGTTAAGGTCACGATAACATCGATATATAGATAGTTGTGGGTTCGAATCCGCCTCGTGTAAGATTGCTCGCCGAGAACCTACGGCCACCTGTCATGAATACAATCATTGTAGCTGTGCCGTGCAGACCTCCAGGAAACGCTGGTGGTCTGCACGGCATTTGCCGAGGATCTAATCATGGTGATAGGTAACGACCTCTCGTTGCCCAAAGTTTTAAATGAGATGATGAGCAACTAGGGTCCTAGTCTGCTGTGCTCTTGTTCTTCGAGGACGTAATGAAAAAAGGAGCAAGCGAAAAAGATCCCTAAATCTCCCCCTCTGCTGATGCGATTCGGCGTAGGCGAGTAAGACAGAGAAGGTGGGGTGCTAGTCTAGACCCCTCCGTCTGCCAGGGCAGGATGGTCGCCGTCTCGTCTACCCACAGGGGCTTCTTGGGAGATCCCAGGTGCCTCCCATTTGAGGCAATGTAAAAAATGAGGAGTCTGCATAGGCGGACCAGCGCCCTTGGGACTGTAGATTGCTCGCGCATTCCCTTAACCCTTACAAAAGGTGAAAAGAAAGAACACCTTGGGATTTTTAGCCTGTAAGAGTTCGGCAGTACCCGTTAACCTCCCCCGGAGCGATCTCCATGATGATTTTCCCCAAGAAAAAAAATCCGCGTCGATCAGGTTCGAGAAAAATCTTAGTTTGTGGCAAGATGGAGAAATGTCAAGATTTATTTAAATGAAAGTAAAACTTGAGAAAGATAACTCTGACTACCAGATGCGGTATAACTGTATATTATCCCGGATGGGGTAATTAAAACTTTGAGTATATATATTTCACGCTATATTTTCCCCTATAATTATTAACCAGTTGTAACTGACTCTTTTTATATTATATTATTTAAATATGAACTAAACATAAAAAAGAGATAGATGGTAAGGTAATCGAATAATATTAAAATTATAAAATAAAATACAATAGTTGGGTCCAATTACTATCATACTACATACCAGAACCATCTGTTCATGCACATAATGCTCTGATATCGTGATACATGTACAGATACCGTGCAAACTACCGTCTGACATGACACATTAGTTATTTAACTGCGATCGCACCTATATTATTATCATTTAACAATTACCCGTTGCTGTGAATAATACGAAATGATTGCCATTTTTTTCTTCTGTTTGTTTAGTACTAATTTTGTATATGGAATGTCCTCGGATAAAATGATTGTAAGACTTTTTATTATTTGTTTTTAAAGTGTACCATAAATATAATATTATTTTTTATAAAAACCTAAAATAGAATATTTGTATATCGAAATAAACTGCCATAAAAATATTTTCGAGTTTTCTATTAGGTAACAGCTTCGTCCGCGCGAAGCTGTTATCTGCTATTTTAGAAAAATATTTAGTGTAGTTTTTTTAGTAAATGCATGTATGTACACTATAACTTTTAACAATCATACATAGATCTGGAGGAAGTTTCCTCTTTTTGTAGATTATTTGTTTACAATTTTAAGCAATATTATAATTTGAATGCCATTGCTATTGCAATACATCCCTTAATTGTCATTTTGTGTACTGTGTTTATAAGCAAATAAATAAATATTGTTATTATATAGTATTGTAATACCAACGGTTTAGATTAAGCATTGAATCAATTGTACATGCTTTTGACTGTACAGATTTTTAACCGAAGTTATGGGTATATTCTTTTATTATCTAAATGGACATATGTTGGGAGCTTATGTATAATGCGCAGGATCTTAGTCTGCTACAAATTAATCATTCCTATTATATTTAAAGTTCTTGATTGTGATGCTACCATACTAATTATAAAGTAATAACTGTTTTAATTAAAGTCCTTATAGAAAATGTTACATAATCAAATAATATTTATTTTTTCTCTGTCGTTCAAAGGCTAAAGGCATATGGACCGTATTGGCTATAGAGAAGTGTCCGGACCCTGAACAGTACTACCTACAGTACGAAGTGAGCAAACGGAAGATATCACGCATGAAGGACGGGTTCGACGGCATATTCCAGCTGGGTCTTACACTAGATGAAACTTACAGTGTAAGTCTAATGTCTCGCGTCAAGATCATGACCGTCTTTTTATACTACTATAGTAGCTATCTAATAATAACTTTAACAATATTTAAATAGCTTACAACGATTATATTTTTATAATTACGCAGTGACAAAATATAGTAATGATTAAAATTGAATTGTAGGAGATTCATTTTATATTAACAAAGAGATTAGTTTATATAAACAAGTTAATTGGTTTCTATTAGGGTTGTTAAGGAGATCCGTAAACCGAAACTATCGGATATCCGATATAAAAGAATAGCCGTAACCGTAACCGAATCCGAAATAAAAGTTAGGACAATATCGGATAGGGGCGGAGCCTAATTGAGACACGTTATGTTACCATTTTATTAGCTATTTGTATTTTACTTTTGAAATTCCTTAAAAATTAGTATCCGTAACCGAAATTATCGGAAACTAACGGATAATCCGAAATAATTTTATATCCGTATCTGGTATAATAATCATTCCTATATCTGAAACCTATCCGTATCCTTTGGGTTATATATATTTAGATAAGTAAAATGTTATAATACTTCAGTATTTTTTTATTTGAATCCGGCCCGCCTGCATATTCTAAATTTAATATATGACCCTCTGCAAAATTGACTTTGACACCTCTGATCTAACATATTCTACTTTACTTTACTATAGATGCACGCAGACATGTGTCAATTCGTTGACGGCGGTTGCAAGCAATTCCAGGAGTTCGACGAGGATTGTTTCGTGTGTTTTATAAACAAGTATGCGGAGGGCAACGCGATGAAACTGCTCGCTTTGGCCGGACTTGACCCCCCGGAATTCCCCGTACCAGAGGTAATATACATTATCTTTTTCACTACTGGCTTCTATGGAGGCATCTGATATTCAGATCAAAGAGCAACTTCATAAAAATCACCATAGATATTTCTGTTCTCTATTATTCTATACTATCTGTGCCCGCGACTTCGTCCGCGTGGAATTTAACTTTATTTTTCTAAAATAAAAGTAGCCTAAGTTACTCCTTATTACATCAGCTACCTGGGAAAAAATTTCCCGTCAAATTCGGTTCAGCCATTTCAGGGATTAGCCGGAACAAACAGACAGACAAAAATTTAAAAAAATGTTATTTTGGTGTATGTGGTGTATTTATATTCATATTCACGTAGTAAAAAACGGTTATTTTAATATTACAAACAGACACTCCAATTTTATTTACCATATATGTATAGATTTCATCCGCGAAACAGCTTTTAAATGTTACAAGACATCTCACTTGATAGTAAATAGTAACTACCGCTTGTATACATGACCCGCACTTCGAACATAACGTTATCATCTGTAACCCGTGGTTCTTTGAGGGGTCATAGAACCACGTGCTTCAGTTGAGGAACCAGCAGAGTTTCCATTTTGGAGGACAAATCTTAATAACAATATAAACGCGAAAGTTTGTGAGTATGGATGTTTGTTACTCGTTCACGCAAAAACCGGATACGCATTTATATGAAACTTTACAGTAATATAGCTTATGCATCAGAAAAACACATAGGCTATATTTTAAATTGAAATATAACATGGGTGCAACCGCGGGCACAGTTAGTATATATATAATGTCACTGCTTTCTCTTAGACCCAAAAACCATTATTTACCATAAAAGTGTTCGGGTTAACAATATAATAAATAATGTTAATCATTACATAATATAAAACAAAGTCGCTGTCGCTGTCTGTCCGTCCCTATGTATACTTAAATCTTTAAAACTACGCAACGGATTTTGAAGCTGTTTTTTCTAATAGAGTGATTATAGAGGAAGGTTTATATATACAATACATGTACACCCGTGCGAATTATGTTCTCTACTTATTGCAGGGCGACTACACCGTAATAGGCTACGAGTTCAATTCCTGCGAGCTGCCGCGGGAGGCTGTGGTGGGAAAGTTTCGAGTTACCGGCTACGTACTTAACGGAACGGATCCAGTGTTTTGTACTGTTTTAATAGTTGAATTCATAGAGGACGATGAGGAAGATGACAACGAATGTGAAGGCGATTAATAATTAAAAACTAACTATGTAAAAAATAAATATGTTTAATCGAGCAACTGGTTATGATTTTTATTCCTTGGCAGAGAGGGGTTATGCTACTATACTCAAATATAACTTACGAAAAATGTAAACAATAAGATCAAATTCAAATTCAAATATCATTTATTCATGTAAGACACTTTAGCCGCTTATGAACGTCAAATAAAAAAATTAAAATTATAATGTAAAAGACATTATAATTTTAATTTTTTTTCCCTGCCATTGTTCATACAGTTGAGAAGAACTGGCAAGAAAATCAATTGATTTTTTTTTAATTCAGTTTATATACAATGTATATATTTATATATATAGATGTCTATGTCTAACATTAATCAATGTCATGCGCATAAACAACTATTGCTATGTACGCTAACGTCCATAAACTGCATAGTGCGGTCCAATAGCTTTACAATTCTAAAATTAATATTTTTTCTACATATCCTACGATTGTGGCAAACAACCATACGCCCCATCTGATGGTAAACGGTTACTGTATCCTATGGACGCCTGAAATAGCAGGCGTGTCACGTGCGCCAGAAAAAAAGGATAAGTTATATAATAACGATTGTTTAAAAAATTTACATTCTTTACACCGTCTAGGTTGTTTCTCTACTAGCTACCCAATTGTACTGAATAATTCGATTAATCTAGCGAATGTTTCGTTTTACCATACATACATTAGAAAATTGTGCTAAGTAGCATCTGCGTCTTCATCTGATTTGTTAGCTAAAAGATAACCTACATCCGTACTTGCGAATTTACCGTTACGTCAAATTTCATTAAGGGCCGTTTTATCAAAATAAATTTAGTTAAAAATATATAATAACAAGTTTAAAAGTAGATAGACAGTTTTTTATTGGAAATATTTTTATTAAAAATATAACTATAACTATCTTGTAATTTTAAAAGTAAAAGTAAAAAATAAAATGTAGAAAAAAAGGCATTGGATTTTCTGACTACGTCGTAAGTGACATAACGTGACGATATATAAATGAATATAATAAAATTAAACGAGTATTTACGTCTTTACTTCCGGTGTAATGTATATAATTGTTGTTTGGACATGTTACATCTAGTTCATATTGAAATACACAATGAAATGGCGAATTACGTGTAACACGCAAGTATAATATGATCTATATCACAACAAACACTATTATTTATATATAGACATTCATTATTTGATCTTTGATAAAGGCCATGTTTATAATAAATTAATATGGAACGTTGCGCTATGCACTAAGAGTATACGCTGGCGGGGCGTCAGAGGAGTCTGATAGTGATGAAGATTAAGTTAGATCAATCAGCTTGATAGTTTCCCGGTAGGGTAGGAATTGTAGTTGATAGCATCACTAGTCCTTATTAAGAATCCCATTACCCATCTTGGTCAAGGCTAGTAGTTAACAGTATGCCAGTATTACGGTAGTCAACTAATAGTAGTAGTAAAATTGATAATGAGAGCGGACCGACCTGACGAGCAGCTCGAACTGGTGGTGGTGCAGCAGGTGCTTGTTGCTGGGCAGGCGCGCGGCCAGGTCCCGCACGAGCGCGGCGCGCGCGGCCGGGGCCCGCAGGGCGCGCAGCACGGCCGGGAACGACTTGTAATGAGAGCGGACCGACCTGACGAGCAGCTCGAACTGGTGGTGGTGCAGCAGGTGCTTGTTGCTGGGCAGGCGCGCGGCCAGGTCCCGCACGAGCGCGGCGCGCGCGGCGGGGCCCGCAGGGCGCGCAGCACGGCCGGGAACGACTTGTAATGAGAGCGGACCGACCTGACGAGCAGCTCGAACTGGTGGTGGTGCAGCAGGTGCTTGTTGCTGGGCAGGCGCGCGGCCAGGTCCCGCACGAGCGCGGCGCGCGCGGCCGGGGCCCGCTGGGCGCGCAGCACGGCCGGGAACGACTTGTAATGACGAGCGGGCGCGCGCGCCGGGGCCCGCAGGGCGACGAGCAGCTCGAACTGGTGGACCTGACGAGCAGCAGGTGGTGGTGCAGCAGGTGCTTGTTGCTGGGCAGGCGCGCGGCCAGGTCCCGCACGAGCGCGGCGCGCGCGGCCGGGGCCCGCAGGGCGCGCAGCACGGCCGGGAACGACTTGTAATGAGAGCGGACCGACCTGACGAGCAGCTCGAACTGGTGGTGGTGCAGCAGGTGCTTGTTGCTGGGCAGGCGCGCGGCCAGGTCCCGCACGAGCGCGGCGCGCGCGGCCGGGGCCCGCAGGGCGCGCAGCACGGCCGGGAACGACTTGCGCGCGTCCGCGTACCGGCACTCGAACGTCGCCGCCACGCACGCGCGCAGCACCTGCTCGTACACATACACACACATGGTTTACGTCTTCTCATTCGTTCTTGATATTGATAAAGTTGATAAAAAAAATACTAGGTGGAGTCGAAGCAAAGTGTGACATGAAAGTAAGTAGAAGTGGAAACGACGAGTGTATTTTACAATGAATATAGCGATAGCTGACCTCGAGCCGTCGAGCAGAGTTGGTGACGAGCAGCTGGCAGTGATCGGGCGCGCCGGTCGGTGGCGCTGCAGGCGGAACGATACGCGGCTGCGGTACGCGAGGACCAGTCAATCTACACACAATATGTTTACATTCAAATATTGTATATACTTATTTATTTATACATATTACATTTTATTTTTAATCAATTATTCCACACGATGATAGTCGCCGAGGTAACGTTATTGTTCGCTTTTTTATATATTTTTGTATTTTATTCTATTTTATATTTTAACGTTTTGGTTTTATATACCGATCGGTCCTTCGGTTTTTACGGTTTCGCTGTAGCTGAATTTATTTTACCTCACTCCAGCTTAAGCCTAACTAGTTAATAAAATAGAAGTAATAATTAGTTAATCAAGTAGTATAATAGCAGCTGACTTGGCGGCGGGCGCGCTGGCGGCGCCCCTGGCGGCGAGGTCCCGCAGCACGGCGGCGACGCGCGCGGCGTCCAGCGCCGGCAGCGGCGGCTGGTGGATGCGGCCCGACGCGCCCGCCGGGGGGCGCAGCACGCGCTGCGGCGGGGCCTGCATCACACCACACATATTTTAACGATAATAATGCAATGATGCACCCAGGGGCAGATCTACCTATGGGCTCTTTGGGCTGCAGCCCAGTCCCTACTGAAACGATATTTAGAACATAAAAAAATATGTAGAATGTTAATAAACCTATCACAATAGGTGAAGCATAATGGAGTAGAATGAAGTAGAATGGAGTAGAATGGAGTGGAATGGAGTGGAACAGAATAGAATGGAGTAGAATGGAGTAGAATGGAGTAGAATGGAGTGGAATGGAGTAGAATGGAGTGGAATGGAGTAGAATTGAGTGGAATGGAGTAGAATGGGGTGGAATACAATAGAATGGAGTAGAATGAAGCGGAATGGAGTAGGATTGAGTAGAATGGAGTAGAATGGAGTGGAATGGAGTAGAATGGAGTGGAATGGAGTAGAATGGAGTAGAATTGAGTAGAATGGAGTAGAGTTGAGTAGAATGGAGTAGAATGGGGTGGAATACAATAGTATGGAGTAGAATGGAGTAGGATGAAGCGGAATGGAGTAGAATGGAGTAGAATGAAGCGGAATGGAGTAGAATGAAGTAGAATGGAGTAGAATGGAGTGGAATGGAGTAGAAGGAATAGAACGGAGTAGAATTGAGTAGAATGGGGTGGAATGGAGTAGAATGGAGTAGAATTGAGTGGAATGGAGTAGAATGGAGTGGAATGGAGTAGAATGGAGTGGAATGGAGTAGAATTGAGTGGAATGGAGTAGAATGGAGTGGAATGGAGTAGAATGGAGTGGAATGGAGTAGAATGGAGTAGAATGGAGTAGAATTCAGTAGAATGGAGTAGAATGGAGTAGAGTTGAGTAGAAAGGAGTAGAATGAAGTAGAATGGAGTAGAATGAAGCGGAATGGAGTAGAATGGAGTAGAATGGAGTAGAATGGAGTGGAATGGAGTAGAAGGAATAGAACGGAGTAGAATTGAGTAGAATGGGGTGGAATACAATAGAATGGAGTAGAAGGAATAGAACGGAGTAGAATGGAGTAGAATGGAGTGGAATGGAGTGGAATGGAGTAGAATGGAGTGGAATGGAGTGGAATGGAGTAGAATTGAGTGGAATGGAGTAGAATTGAGTGGAATGGAGTAGAATGGGGTGGAATACAATAGAATGGAGTAGAATGAAGCGGAATGGAGTAGGATTGAGTAGAATGGAGTAGAATGGAGTAGAATGGAGTAGAATGGAGTGGAATGGAGTAGAATTGAGTGGAATGGAGTAGAATGGGGTGGAATACAATAGAATGGAGTAGAATGAAGCGGAATGGAGTAGAATGGAGTGGAATGGAGTAGAATGGGGTGGAATGGAGTAGAATGGAGTAGAATGAAGCGGAATGGAGTAGGATTGAGTAGAATGGAGTAGAATGGAGTGGAATGGAGTTAGCATGGAGTAGAATTGAGTAGAATGAAGTAGAATGGAGTAGAGTTGAGTAGAATGGAGTAGAATGAAGTAGAATGTAGTAGAATGGAATAGAATGGAGTAGAATGAAGCGGAATGGAGTAGAATGAAGTAGAATGGAGTAGAATGGGGTGGAATACAACAGAATGGAGTAGAAGGAATAGAACGGAGTAGAATTGAGTAGAATGGGGTGGAATACAATAGAATGGAGTAGAAGGAATAGAACGGAGTAGAATGGAGTGGAATGGAGTAGAATTGAGTGGAATGGAGTAGAATGGGGTGGAATACAATAGAATGGAGTAGAATGGAGTAGAATGAAGCGGAATGGAGTAGGATTGAGTAGAATGGAGTAGAATGGAGTAGAATGGAGTAGAATGGGGTGGAATACAATAGAATGGAGTAGAGTTGAGTGGAATGGAGTAGAATGGGGTGGAATGGAGTAGAACGAGGTAGAATGGAGTAGAATTGAGTAGAATGGAGTATAATGGAGTGAAATGGAGTAGAATGTAGTAGAATGGAGTGGAGTGGAGTAGAATGGGGTGGAATACAATAGAATGGAGTAGAAGGAATAGAACAGAGTAGAATTGAGTAGAATGGAGTAGTGTTATATTGACTGTAATCTGTTTTGTATACTAATAAATAAATAAATAAGGCTGGCGACCCTGAGATTATCGACCCATGCAAGTGCGCGTTTATAGATAGAAACGGGGAATTACTGGTCGCTTGTTTTTGATCGGTGTATGTTTTTGATTGAGTAATATAATATAGGTAGGCCCCTAAGTAAATGTAGCCCAAGGGCACAAATTCACGTTCCACCCCTGGATGCACCCGCCCGCGCTAATAAGACGAGTCAGGTCAGATGGGTCATCTCTCATCAATCAATCATTACATGATTCATCATGACATTTTATCACATTGTTTTAATGATAAAGAAATGGTACCTGCGCTAACGGGACACGCTGGCGGAGCACCAGTGAAGGATGATATGATGAACATGAGATCGGTCAGTTAGTCCATCGTGATAAATTCACTAGGAATTTGTCATGATAGAGGCCTAACCGCGTAGCGGTCAACATATGGTATATTGTCAGTAATGTGGTTATTTATTCGCTATTACATTACATATATTTATCTAACGCAATAACGAATAAATAAATAAATAAAAAATTGTAAAAAAATTTAAATATCATACATTACATAAATTAGTCCATACCTGTGGATTAGGGTTCTCGTTGAGTTGTAGCTGCATTGCTAAATCCTGTATATGCACTAATTCTAACTCAGGATTTAATGACTCCAATCGAAGTTGTTCTGGTAAGTTTCTGGAAAAGAATAAATAAATGATATAATAATATGTCAGGGAAATTCATACAGCGCCATCTAGTTAAGCAAAGCTTGTGTTATGAAGTATTCAAATCAACAGAATAAGAGTTTAGTTTCTTATCAATTCTTCTGAGCTCGAAAGCACACGGAATCGATGGTAGTTTCATATATGATAAAAGTCTATAATAGACCTACATGAATAAGGATATTTTGATTTGATTTCACATAGGCTATTTTTTTATCTCAACTCAAGAAAGCAGTCAAAAAAGGTTATCGTCTAGTACTGAATACATACTGCACGAGCTCGTCCCAGATATCGGTGGGCCTCCAGGGCGGGCCGCGCTCTGCCACCAGCCCGTTGAAGAACATGGAGTCCAGAAGTCGTACTGCGAACGGGCACTGCGACAGTCCGCGCCCACCAAGGAACCCCATCTTGTGGAACGTCAGCACCGGACTCGGGTGGATCCGGATTATCGTCAAGCAGTGCCTGCAAATAACACGTTCTTAATAACCGCCACCAACCGCGTTTACGCAACCGCGCAACGGCGTTCACGCATGTTTTAAAAAACATACGTAAACGCTTTCACGCAAAAACTACTGAACCCATCATCATGAAATTTTGTACACAAGTTCTTGGAAGTAAAAGAACATAGGATACTTTCTATTATAAAAAAAATATAAAAAACAAAAAATAAAATATCATTATTTTACTACTTCAGCGCCATCAGCAAGTAATGAAGTTAAGCGAACGAAGCCGCGGGTAAAGGCTAGTATAAAATATAGTTTCAATAAAATCCGTTCAGTATTCTGCGTGAAAGAGTAACATGTTTGTTATATATATTACTAGCTGTCCCGGCAAACGTAGTTTTGCCTTAAAATAAAAAAAAAATTAGGGGTGGACTACCCCTAACATTTAGGGGGATGAAAAATAGATGTTGGCCGATTCTCAGACCTACTCAATACGCTCACAAAATTTCATGAGAATCGGTCAAGCCGTTTCGGAGGAGTATGGGAACGAAAACTGTGACACGAGAATTTTATATATAAGACAAGATATATTACGATATTTAGAAACTTTCGCGTTTGTAATAATATTATTAAGACTAGCTGTCCTGTTAAGAACACGTTATTATGAGAAGCCATTTTTTATGGATGATTACCATTTCAACTGTTAGCTATAAAAATGAAATTAACGCCCCTTCTGTGAGACCAATGATAGGTTTTCTCACAGATGGGGTTTGGGCCCATCTGTGGAGCAGTCCACAGATGGGGCTATAGTGTCCGAGTCCAATAATGTATATTATTTCGTATGCATTTAGTGAGATTCCTTTTTATGTATTTACATAATATAAAGTATACATTAGGACACGACATTAAAAAATAACAATAAAACTCTTACTAACAGCTAAGTTTATTTGTGTTTGTTTCGGGAGCTATAAATTCATGAAGAAAGTTATTATCTTTAACTATAACAATATAGTTATAGATAGATTAAAGTGTTTAATTTTCTGCTTTTATATTTATACTAGCTACTCGCCCAGGCTTCGCACGATTGTACATATATTATATATAAAAACCATCCTCTAGAATCACTCCATCTATTAAAAAAACCGCTTCAAAATCCGTTGCGTAGTTTTAAAGATTTAAGCATACATAGGGATATACAGCGACAGCGTTTGTTTTATACTATGTAATGATATAGTTCTTCCTTTTAGATTGATAAGTTGTCTACACGTTAATCTAAAAAGAACCTAACGTGACAACTAAGCCAAATAACAACTAACCTGTAACCCTGTAGCAATCTGGCTAACGTCCTCATGAACACAGCTCTGATTTCCTTATCCAGCATAAGCGGTGGGGAAGCAGCGGGCGGCGGGGGTGCGAATGCCGAATCAGCTGACCGTAGCTCCGGCTGGAGTACTAATGCGAGGGCATCCTGTAGCGAGGATAGGAGCTTCCCTTCTGGTCGGGGGATGTTCACACTACCGGGAATGTGTAGCGAGCCGACGTCCAAATCCGCTACTATTACGTCCAACTGAAAATAAACAAAAATAATAATTAAGTTTAGATTAATAATTATTATTTATTTATTTATTACCAAATTTATTCAGACTGACATCGATTGTACAATAGGCTGGGCCTAGGAACCAGAATATGAATTTTCGAACATGAATTCTCATATTTACCTATAAAGATTTCATTTTATTCGTTATATTAAATATTTTTATTATTTTTTGTAAGGTCATATTTGCAAAACAAAAACAATATTAGCTAAACCAAAGTAATATAATCCGTCCTAGTATAGAACTTAGGGGGAAATGTATTGTTTAGTTAGTAAATTGAACTAATTGCTCCATCAACAATGTACATAACAAGGTTGACCTCCACGCGGTTCCCCTTGGAAGCCATCGCGATAAATTCCTGGTTAATTTGTCATGATAGGCCAAGTGACTTGACCTCAAGTTTCAACCTATCATGCTTCACCCCGCCAGAGAAGCACACGTTGCACAATTCCATTATAATCACAAAAAAAATACAGAAGGTATCTGCAAACAAAATGAACATATAGGACTTGTCAATACTCACCAAGTCTGATACCTCCTCCTTCAAACTCGAGTGTACTCCGATAAGGAACGGGGTCGGCGTTGCTAGCACCTCAGCGAGGCCGGCAGGCAGCAGCGGTATGTACACGTGAGCATATCTGAAGGGGAACATGAGTGCTGCCAGTGCTCTGCAAGCGGCCGCCAGCCGGGCCGCTGCCAACGACACCAGCAGCACCTTATGCTCACTCATCACCGCGCACCAAAGAGTCACCGAGTTGTGGATACCTACACAGAAGCAGTTCATTAAATAAATAGACAGCTGCAGCTGAAAATCAGAGTTTGTTTGCTGGCCAAAAATCACAGGCGTTTTTGCATTACTGTAGCACACAATACAGTACATGCGTTGTGACACTTCTAGCGTACAGTTAGTTTAGTCTTTATTCTTACAGTTATAATTATGTTTTGTATTTATTTTATATTGTGTGTGCTGAGGACGAATATAAAATAATTATCTAAATATGTACACATAAAAAACATAGAAGACTGATTTAAAAAAAATAATTTATAAATTAATTGCATTGAAAAAGTCTACAAAAACCTTATCATTTACAAACATTTAACTTTTATAATATGCTTTTTTACCGAGAAAGAGTTTTATACGACAGTGGTTTATTATTTATTAAGATTAAAAACAGACTCTGGCATACAAGCTACTTTCACGCAAAATTAATATCAGTTTACCAGCTTAGCTATGACAATATGTTATCTGTCTGTGTGTTGCCACAGACAAACAATCTGCATACTACAACCGATACACAGCTTCCAGATCAAGCTTGGCGAGTCAAATAGCTAAACTGTGGTACCTACTCTGACGACTTTTTAGTCTACCTAGAGATAGACTAAAAAGTCGTCAGAGTAGGTACTACTAAAGATAGATACGAATCACAAACTAACCTAGTAACCTCAGCAGCATGTGTACAGCCGTATGGGTGACGGGCATGGGCGGCGCTGCCGGCGGCTGCAACGCCTGCCGATCACCAGCGCCGATGCTAAACCGCACTTGTGGCCCGCCGGCGGGCGGCACCAGCACGCAACCCAGGAGGTTACCCACCAGCGTCTCTAATGGCACGCCCAGGTTTTCTACCCACACCGTATAGATTATGCCTAGGCAGTTCTGCAAATGATGATAACATTAACAATTACTAATACTATTAACGGGAAAGTTTGTGAGTATGGATGAATGGATGCATGTTTACTCTTTCACGCAAACTACCGATACATCAGAATAACACATAGGCTATACATCAGAATAGGCATAGCTGATACATCAGAAAAACACATAGGCTATAATTTAAAAAGACAATATGTAAATTGGGCGAAATATAATGTTAAATGTCAAGTAAGTGTGATGCAGACGAAGTTGCGCAACTTCGTCTGTATTTTGCCAGTAGTTTTTCTGCTAGTATTTTAAAAGATTTTTATTGGATGTAGAACATTGTAGTTTTGTTTGGTCTTTATTAGATAGAACAATAAAAGCCGAAATAGCAGTTTTTAGAATTTTTAGTGGGTTAGAATACCATAAAGTTCCTAGTTACCTCTCTGGCGTAGGATGGTCTTATGAAGATATTTTTTTATTATATATATTTTTTTAACAATTCACACTGCGCCATCTAGACCCAAGTTAAGCTAGCTAAAGCTTGTGTTATGGGTACTAGATAACTGATACAAATACATAGATACTTTTTTTGTAAATACATACATATTATACATAGAAAACACCCAGACCGATACAAACAATCATACTCATGAATACAAATGTTTGTGCCGTGCGAGGAATCGAACCCGCGACCATCGGAAGTAAAGCGGTATGCTAGACCGCTAGACCACCGAGGTCGTCTAGCGGTTTAGCACAATTACTCGATTAATTTATTTTAATTTCTTTCTGCTCGATTAAAAAAAACTTACTCTGAAGGTGTCGATGTAGTCCTGCCTGGAGACGATGACGAGGCACTTGGGCGCGTACATGATGCTGTGATGGGTGATGTTCGCCACTGTCCTCGACGAATCCAGGGATTCCTCGTCCTGGCAAAAGAAATACAAATATATGAACGGTGTGTATAAAACTCTCAACTAACTTAACAGTTTACGCTGGCGGGGCATCAGTGGAGGACGATCAGTCGAACATGAGGTCAGGTCAGACAGCCTATCGTGGCAAATTTACTAGTAACTTATCATAATGGTTCCCAGGTGGAACCGCGTGGAGGCAACCCGACATAGTACATTGCTAGCAATGGATTCATCAGTCCGCATTACTAACAATCCCACCAAATTTGTGTCTCTAAATTTCTCCCCAATTTTGTTTAATTTCAAAACCTTTTTCTACTATATTAAACATGACTTGTTCCGTCTCATAATATTGTGTTCCTAACAGGATAAACTGACTGGTTTACATTTTTAGACTTCCTCGTCGTACTATTGTAATCAGTATAAAGAAGACTATTATATCACAATAACTAATAATACTACGTATAAATGACGCAAAAACGACTGAACAGATTTTAATAAAACTTTACAATAACATAGCTTTATACATTAGAATAACATATAAGCTATAATTTATAAAGATATTGTGTGAATTGTAAAATATAACGATATATCGAATAAGTAGAAAATAATATGCTATCTTCGAGCTATAATAGTGTCTGTTAGACCTCACAAATAAACCGCGAAACAAATTTTGATAAGTTTTGGTATAAAGATAAATAGGAACTTGGAGAAGAAAATAAACTACTGGAATTACTATCGAAATCTAAGTTGCAGGCACCGGTATAGTAGTATAAGACTGTCTACATAAAATCTGATCATTTTTTTCTAGAACTAGTCTCTAAAAAATATTACGTTGCGATTTCAATCAAAGAAAAACATTGGCTGTATAAAGATAGATAGAAAATTGGAGAAGAAAATAAGTTCCTACTAAGTACTATCGAAATGTAAATTGCAAGCACCAGTCTATACTAGTGCTTGCAATTTACATTTCGATAGTATAATATAATATAATATATAATGCTGGTATAAGAATGTCACCATAAAATCAGTTCAATTTCTTTCTATAGCTAGTCTCTAAAAAACATTGCAATCCGATTTCAATCAAAGAAAAACTGACAGTAGCCGAAGTAGGTAGGTACTCCACTCGCCAGCCGACGGGCTACTTCCGGCGGCGCCACGGAAACGGAGCAATGGAATGAATAATGATGAGTCGGTATCAGAGACACCTGTGAACTGTTGGGATGCGTTTATAGTTAATTGTACAAGCCAGGGGTGAGCAACCTTTTTAATCAACGGACCAATTTAAATATTAAAATATTTTGGCGGGCCGCACATAAAGTAATACTGTAAACAACTTTATAAATATTCAAATGTCTTAATAAACATTAGATATTAATAAGGTATAAAACTTTATTTCTAATAAACATTAGAATAAAAAATGTAAAGTTAAAACACAAATTTTAATGTGTTTAACGGGCCCAAGCGTCCCGCGGGCCGCGTGTTGCTCTTCCCTGGTAACCAATCTTTAATCATTATTTATTAAGCGCGTTTAATTGAAAAATAATTAACGGTGATTAATAAACAAAGAATAGATTCGAGGTTTGGGCCAACGCAATTAAACGCATGCCATTAGAAATTATTTGAAGTGTGAGATATGGATGTAAATTTACAGGGCAAGGAGTTAAGACATTTTAGTTCTGAGAACGGATTCTAATAAAGACCATAGGCGTTGTAGTATATTATGTGACATAATTATTAACTTTTGGAGAAGAAATTTTGTACATAATCGTCTGTTTGGCGTTAACACTACCGCAGAAATTTCGTTATTTATATATACCTATTACTATAAGTTATATTTTCTTTTTTATAAACACTAATCTACACCTACCAATATCACAAAGAGGTAAAATTACTATGTTTGTTTGTTCATGGTAATCTACGGTTGTCCTGATCGCTTTTTCAAAATTCTTTCACTAGAATTATGCTAAAACAATTTTACATCTTCTTAATTCATCATCTTAATTTCATAAAACTAATTATCACAGTTACTAAACTATCCTTGTTCTGAACTGTATACTTACTACATTTTTCAATAGTGAGGTTTAAAGTTATGTCCGTTTATTGAACAAAATGAACATAATGAGACGCCCACGTGTATTCTTATGGATGACTAGCTGTACCCGTGACTTCGTCCGCGTGGAATTTAACTTTGTAATTCTAAAATAAAAGTAGTCTAAATTACTTTGAATTTCATCTGCTACCTGCCAAAAAAATCCCGTCAAAATTTGTCCAGCCATTTCAGAGATTAACCGTACCAAACAGACAGACAAAAATTGTAAAAAATGTTATTTTGGTGTATGCACCGTATTTATATTCTTATTATTATATGCATATAGTAAAAAACGGTTATTTCAATATTACAAGCAGACACTCCAATTTTATTTATATGTATAGATAATGGATTGGTGCACCCGCCTGCTCTAACGGTTCACGCAGGCGGGGCACCAGTGGAGGATGATAAGATGAACATGAAGTCAGGTCAGTAACCTCTGCTTGGCCAATGGCAATTTGCCACAATGGTGTCCAAGGGGAACCGCGTGTAGTTCAACCAGACATGGTACATTGCTAGCAGGGTTATTTAGTCCACAATATTAAGAATCCCCTTCACTCAAACCGACGACGTGTATTTATTGACGCAGCTAATGTGAAATATGTTCAAACATAGGCGTGTGCAGATATTTGTACCTACTGCGTGTATTTCCGTAAGCCGTATAATGCAGCTTTTTCAGTTTCGGTATTCAAAACTATTGCAATTGTAACTAACGTCTTATAGTACATTATAACAAAAACTAGTATAATTTGTCAACCGTTGAACTATTCGAATGTTACTTAATTGATTTATATTATTTTGTTTAATTCCGCTACAATGAGAGGAAGGAAGGAATCAAGTAGTGAAATGGCCTTCCGCAAAATAACACCTAATTCGATTAAATATATATTCGAAAGTTCTTAGAAATAGAAATAATCTTACAGTAATATAGCCCCCCCCTCCGATCGATCCCCCGTCCAATTCAAACGGGGATCGAAATTACGACGGCCTGAGCCGAGGTTCGAACCCCTAGTGGTGCCCTCAGACTAAAGTCGTATCCGTCGGGCAGGAGTTGGCCTTCAGCCGCTCCATAAGTCCTTCCGCGGGTTTGGAGTGCCATCTGCACTCGCCCCATAACGTCCGGTGAAGCTGTAAAGGCCAGCTACGGCCAACAGCATTAGAGTAGTCCGAAAAAAAAAAAAAAGTAATATAGCTTACATATCAGAATAACACATATTCTATAATTTATAAAGATATAATATGAATTGTACAAAATATAACTATATGTTAAGTAGGTAGGAAAAAATACTGCCATCTGCCAGCTATTCGCAGCGGTTGCAGTTTCAGTATTCAAAACTATTTCAATTGTACCTAACGTTTTGGATTACACTATAACAAATACTCGTACCATTTGCCAACCGTTGACCTGTTCGAATGTTGTTCATATAGAAATAGAAATAATCTTACAAAATATAGTTTTTTTTTTATACTACTATGGTGGCAAACAAGCATACGGCCCATCTGATGGCAAATGGTTACGTAACCAGAATAATTGGCTCACACACATTGGCTATAATTTATAAACTTATAATGTGAATTGTATAAAATATAACGATATGTTAAGTTGGTAGTAAAAAATACTGCCATCTGCGAGTTATTTTAGTTTCCGTTACGCCTTCACGACTATAAACTGAAGAACCAATTTTTAAGAATTCTAGTAAAAAAATATATAGGATCTTGGAGATTAAAATAAGCTACTCGAGGTACTATCGAAATCTAAGCTGCAGGCACCGCTTTAGTATAGGACTGTTAGCATAAAATCTGATGAAACTTTTTCTAGAGCTAGTCTCTAAAACCATTGCAAACATAGCCGTGTGTTCAGATATTTGAACCGCGTGTATTTCCGTAAGCCGTATAACACAGCGGTTTCAGTTTCAGTATTCAAAACTATTTCAATTGTACCTAACGTTTTGAATTACACTATAAAAAATACTCGTTTCATTTTTCAACCGTTGAACTGTATAAATACTGTTCATATAGAGATAATCTTTATTCAAATAAACTTAACATTCACTTTTGAATAGTCACATTTTTTATTCTACCACTCATTCGGAACGCAGACTCATCTAAACATTTTATTAAGTAGTTGTATCAATAACGTCTAATCTTTCTTTTTATTGTTTTAAAATGACAAGTTAAAATAAACTTTACAGCTTCGAGATTGAGTCGAGATCACAAAAAATCTATACATATAAATAAAATTGGAGAGTCTGTTTGTAATATTAAAATAAATTTCTTACTACATGCATACGTATATAAAATACGGTACATACACCAAAAGAATATTTTTTACCATTTTTGTCTGTCTGTCTGTGCGTCTGTTTGTTCCGAGTAATCTCTGAAGTCTTTGGACCTATTTTGACGGGACTACCATTGGCAGGTAGCTGATGTAATAACGAGTAACTTAGGCTACTTTTATTTTAGAAAAATAAAGTTAAATTCCACGCGGACGAAGTCGCGGTTACTAATACGCGGGTAATACTAGCTGTATTATATAGATGTGATAACTAAAAATCAATAAAATCTATGGGATTATAAAGTTAATTGAGATATAGCTATCATTGATAGAAAAATCTTTAATATAACTCACGAGACATATTCATTTGTTTAATTAACCGGGCCTTCTGTAGTGGTGAATAAAATAAAGAGTTTATCTATCTATATAAGGAATTTATTTCCAGAATGACTCCTACTCCTATCTTATATCTAGAAATCTGGCAGTGGTTTTGAATCCCATCTAAACCTCGAAGATCTATGTATGTTTGTATCTCTAACTAACTCAATATCTTATGAGATCTTGCCGGTTTTCTGCAGGAAGCTTCCGGATTTACCTTGAACATAGACACGGGATCCCGCGAAATCGGAATTGCATTCCCCAGTTTTATGG